TAATAAGTATGGCTTTTGAAGGAGGCATGATTATTACGGAAGTTTGTTGGGTTTAGAGTACCAAGAGGTTGCAGTGGCGGCTCTAAGTAGTTCTGAATACTGCTCACAAGATCATTGTTAAAGGTCTCTACAGAGGAACACTCATAGGAATTATACCAGTCAGTCACATGTGCAACAAAGTCATCATGCTGATCTGTGGGAACATTAAAACGTTTCCGTTTGAATATCCCACCAGGAAGGATAGTATTACCAATATCTAGAGAGGTTAGCCTAGGGAAATGATCAGACGCTATATCTGTTACAATGGAAGACTCACAGCTGGCAGAAGTAATGTTGAAGCCCAGGCACAGATCAAGGACGCCTCCATAGATATGTGTGGGTTCAAGGTCACCTACAATTTGGACATTATCATGACTGTTTAAGAGTGACAACAGTTGATTGCCATTACGATTACCAAACTGTGAGTTTCCAATGCTTTTGTGTCTCGCATTGTAATCGCCAATAATAAGAGTAGGCTCAGAATGAGCACAAGTTGGGAGCTCCAAGTAATTAAATTTATCAGCAGGAGCATACAAGTTAAATATGTTGAGAGCAGAGTTCCCTATATAAATCCTAACACCGTGATATTGTAGCCCCTCTGTTTTCTTGTGTGCAAGAAGTTGATGGGGAAGTGATTTTTTAATATATAGAACACAAGAGTTAGTAGATTTGAGGTTATATGCAACAAATGATGGTAATTTAGGGGGTTGGGATTTTTCAGGGACTCTGCACTCTTGTAGACACACAACATCAATGGGTTCGGTGGTTACTTTATGATGAAGTTCAGGAAGTCATTTATATAACAGAAGGAGAATATATCTTAATCATAACACTCGCCAATTTGACTGGAGATTAGTGTCATGTACAGGACCCCCCCCCCCTTTTGCCTACATTTATGAAAAATTTACTGGACAGAATTTAAACATAAATTAGACAGCTTATCTGAGGTTCCTGGAGTTGTCTTGTCCTATTGCCTGATACTCAAATTATGCAGGAATGCACATCCAACAATTTCGGCTCCTATTTGAGAGGTGTCAGCCCAATTTTAACCTCTAAAGCACGAAAATTCCTTCCCATTACACAATGGCGTATGTCTTCTGCGCAGGCACAGAAAATTTCCCATTTTTTATGACATAAATTTTTATTAAATACAATATAGGCCATCTATTTACCTATAAATTACCGTATTTCCGGAAAATATACAGTATTTTCCACAAGGCTAAGAGGGAGTGAATCTGAAATGGCAAGTTAAGTGACATGGTCAGGATCTAAAAATCGGCTCCTGCAATCACATTCAGGATAATATGAAAAGGTGAGTATACACACTATTTTATGTAAGAGGAAAAAAAATGACAAATAAAGGCTCTCAAAAATAAGGAGAGGAGAGGGATGAAGGAGGTAGATGGCACTACCTGGGAACAATAATGGACGGCCTGAAGACCCAAGAGAAAGAGGAGGTTGAGGGAAAGTTTACTTCTCTTTGGAGAAAAACTGCAGCAGTTTGCAATGAAGCAAGATATAAAGTCACAAAACTGATAAATAAGGCAACTATACCAGAGAAAAGGGCCTCTGAAGCTGGAAGAGGAAATAGTAAGGCTGGAGGAGACTAGAGGAGGAACAGCGAGGATGGTTTTTGAAAGGCAGTTCAATTCCCTCCGGGAGGAAACAGTGGCACTATGTAACAAAGTCATGGAAAAGATTTCAGAACAGGTGAATGGGGCTAATTTAGCAGAAGACAGAGTCCTAAAATTGGAAGAGGAAGAGAGCTGAAAAAGACCATGAAAGTAATGGCAGGGAGGTTAGTAGGGGCAGAAACGGTGAAGGAAGGAGAGGGAGACCAGGGGTCAGGAGAGAACAATTATAATAATATCTTCATAAAATATAAAAAAAAAATTATCTTCATTTCTACAAGTACATGTACAAGGTATACAGGCCTAGCTGACATCATCGACATACTACTATATAGAAAGTGCCACTCAAGGGAGGTTCCTTGATGCTGGTGAGGGGGTTTTGATCCAGGGAATTGGGTCTGTGCTCCGGTTCCTTGAATTGAGCCTGAATACCTTCCACCCCCCTTCCCACGTCCTCTGTATAATCCTACGAGTTTAGCGCTCCCCCATGATTATAATATATAGAAAGCCCCTTGTTATGCAGAGTATTTCGGGCAAAATAGGTTACTTTTGTCCCAGGATGCGACCCACACCAGTCGGCCAACACCCAGGTGCCCATTTAACTGATGGTAGAAAAGGGACAGAAAATGTCTTACAGAAACACGTTTTAATGTTTTCCAGCCGTACCGGCGGATCGATCCCCAGATCTCAGGAAAAATCACTGGCAATGATGTTCTCTGAAGATAGGACCCCTCGAGAGAGGTTCCTTGACGTTGGTTAGGGGCTTTTGATATAGGGAATTGGATCTATACTCCAGCTCCCTGAATTGAGCCTGAATACCTTCCATCCTTCCCCATGCGCTGTATAATCCTACGGGTTTAGCGTTTCCCCGTGGTTATAATAATCTGAAGATAGGAAGGCCAAAGTAAGTGATCAGAGGGACAGCAGAGAAAAGAGTAGAAACACAAATAAATCTGAAGGAGAGAATGTGAGGAAGGTCATTGATGATCCATGGATTCAAGAGGTTGAAGGTGGCCCAGGTAGTAGTTGGGAAGATTAGGAACGAGAGATTATATCGATCATGGAGTACACAAGTAGAGAGGAAGTGGTAAGGCAAATGGCAAATTTTCTGAGGATTGGCAAGTTCTTCCACGGCAAACTGGTCCAGTCATCCATCAAGGTGTGGGGACCGACTACCAATACACTCATTTTACAGCTCATTATCATGCTTGCTGAAAACCAAGGCCTCAGATATGTTACATGGACATTTTAGCATCGGTAGCCAATCACCACTGGTCCCTTCCAGGGAATGCCTTGACGCTGATAACGCTCTTCATCCCAAAAGTTGGAACAACCTTCCACCTTTCCCTGAATCAAACAACATTTCCCAGGTGCTTTCCCATGAATGAAATAACGAGTTACAGTTCACTACCAGCAGGGTAGAGTTATTTTTACATAGGAATTACCAGTGTTGATGTCCTAGATAGCATCCGGCGAAGTCAATAGTGTCCATGGATGGATTGGAATTGAGCAAGAAATGCTACATAACTGCCAATCTAGCGGCATATATATATATATATATATATATATATATATATATAATATATATATATATATATATATATATATATATATATATATATATATATATATATATTATATATATATTTTATTATTTTTTTATTTTTTTTTTTTTTTTTTTTTTTTTTATTATCACACTGGCCGATTCCCACCAAGGCAGGGTGGCCCGAAAAAGAAAAACTTTCACCATCATTCACTCCATCACTGTCTTGCCAGAAGGGTGCTTTACACTACAGTTTTTAAACTGCAACATTAACACCCCTCCTTCAGTCTATTGTACTCTGATAATTATACTTATGTGTACCTGTAACTAAATAAACTTACACACTGTGCTGGTGTGCAAAAACACATTAAAATCACTAAGAGTGCCCCTCTAGTTTTGATGCCATATTAATAATATTTTTTTTTTATTATTTATTATCACACCGGCCGATTCCCACCAAGGCAGGGTGGCCCGAAAAAGAAAAACTTTCACCATCATTCACTCCATCACTGTCTTGCCAGAAGGGTGCTTTACACTACAGTTTTTAAAACTGCAACATTAACACCCCTCCTTCAGAGTGCAGGCACTGTACTTCCCATCTCCAGAACTCAAGTCCGGCCTGCCGGTTTCCCTGAATCCCTTCATAAATGTTACTTTGCTCACACTCCAACAGCACGTCAAGTATATATATATATATATATATATATATCATATACATATACCGCGTAGGTAGCGCAGTTATGTAGCATTTCTTGTTCAATAAACAAAATAGCGCCATTCCCATATCTACTCCTAGTGGAATAAGGTTAGATTTTACTTTACTTAATTTTAATTTTTGTTACTTTACTCATTTACTAATTTATTTTTACTTATTTCTTACTAACCTCTTACTACTTCACATCTTACTACTTTTCACTTTATATGCTTTATTTACTTAGTACTTACTAACTTACCCCATGGAAATAAGTCACTTTGACTTTTTTTAAGTTTATCCTTGGTAATGTACACATATGCTGCAATGTATGATAATTTATGTAACTGTACTCACCTAATTGTGGTTGCAGGGGTCGAGACTCAGCTCCTGGCCCCGCCTCTTCGCTGATCATTACTAGGTCCTCTCTCTCCCTGCTCCATGAGCTTTATCATACCTCATACCTATATCTGTACCTGTACCTGAATAAACTTATATACTTAACTGTACCTTAATAAATTTATTTACCTGTACCTGAATAAACTTACCTGTACTTGAATGAATAAACTTACCTGTGCCAGAATAAACTTACTTACCTGTTCCAAATTAAACCGGTTTGTGGTTCGTATGTCAGTTTACGTGCGGTCAGTAGTAACAGCCTGGTTGATCAGACCCTGATCCACCACGAGGCCTGGTCTCAGATCGAGCCGCGGGGGCGTTGACCCCCGAAACCTTCTCCAGGTAAACTCCAGGTGTACCAGAATAAACTTACTTGTACCAGAATAAACTTACCTGTACCTGAATAAACTTACCTGTACCAGAAAAAACTTACCTGTATCTGAATAAACTTGCCTGTACCTGAATAAACTTGCCTGTACCTGAATAAACTTGCCTGTACCTGAATAAACTTGCCTGTACCTGAATAAACTTACCTGTACATGAATAAACTTACCTGTACCTTAATACACTTTCTTACCTGTACCTGAATAAACTTACCTTTACCAGAATCAACTAAGTTACCTGTACCCGAATCAAGTTACTTATTGTTCGCTAGAGTGTAGCGGTTGTTGGAGTGAGGTTGAGCAGGTGGTGGTGGGGTTGTGGCTACACTGTCAACGTTGTTTCCAAACACAAGAGTCAACAAGTGAGTGAAGAACATTGATCTTCGGGAAGAACGTGAAGAACAAGCCGAGGAAGAAGTATTTTGTGGCACAACTGCGACCTTATTGCACCAATGGAGGTGACGAAGGAGAGTAAGTGTGGTGGAGATTTAAGAGTGTGATAGAGGTAAGTGTGGTGGAGAGGTAGTGTGATGGAGAGGATGTGTTGGAGAAATAGTTTGGCAGAGAGTAAGTGTTATGGAGAAGTGAATGGTGGAGATATAGAGTGGTGGAGAGAGTGATAGAGATTATGTGAGATGGAGAGGTAGGGAGGAGGTTTAATGTGATGGAGAGGTAGTGTGGTGGAGGTGGAACCAGTTACATGCTGGTGGAGGGAAGCAGACGAGTGATCTCCAGGTGGTTGATGCTGATGAAAGAGCTCTTGATCCAGGAGCACTTCCACCAGCATTAACCATCACCTTGGCCCATCAATAGAAGTGGCTTGATGACAGTGAGAGGCTCTTGGATCAAATCTGATTGTCTTCCATTCCCCCATATGCTTTATGACCCCAATGGGTTTAGTGCTCCTTTCATGACTGTAATAATAAAACGAAGATCAATGAAAAAAAAACACACTGCTTGGCTTTCTTGGGTTATCCAGGGTTATTAACCATCTAGGATTACTAATGAAAGTAGTCTAAATCTATGAACCAAAGCTAATATTGTACTAAGGAAATTGAACATAATTAGTAAGTTTACAGGTGTATAGGCTATAAACACCTGTTGCAGCATCAAGCAATACTACATTGCTATTGGGTACCTAATCCTGTTGAGGCCATATGTTAATTTAGGACTAAGTTAAGAATGCCTAATAAATGAAACTGCCAAGACGAAGAATGGTCAGTTTATTTTATTAATCTCCTTCAAGAGGGAATGCTCTTGAATTGGAACTACCCTCCATGGATCACATTTAATGGCCTATTTCCCTGGGAAATAATAATAAGTATTATCATATTTATTATATTTATTTTTTTTATTAACACATTGGCCTTCTTCCACCAAGGCAGGGTGGCCCAAAAAAGAAAAACTCATTATCATTCACTCTATCATTGTCTTGCTAGACGTGTGCTTACACTACAATTTTAAAACTGCAACATTAACACCCCTCCTTCCGAGTGCAGGCACTGTACTTCCCATCTCCAGGACTCGAGTCCAGCCTTCCGGTTTCCCTGAATCCCTTCATGAATGTTACCTTGCTCACACTCCAACAGCACGTCAAGACCTAAAAACCATTTGTCTCCATTCACTCCTGTAAAACATGTTCATGCATGCTTGCTAGAAGTCCAATCCTGTTGTACACAAAACCACCTTTACCCCCTCCCTCCAACCTTTCATAGGCTGACCCCCTACCCTGCCCTCCCTCCACTACAGATTTGTACACTCTTGAAGTCATTCTATTTTGTTCCATCCTCTCAACATGTCTGAACCACCTCAACAACCTCTCCTCAGCCCTCTCAATAATAGTTTTGGTAATCCTTCAGCTCCTCCTAATTTCCACACTACATATTCTCTGCATTATATTCACACTACACATTGCCCTCAGACATGACATCTCCACTGCCTCCAGCCTTCTCCTTGTTGCAACATTTGCCACCTATGCTTCACACCCATATAAGAGCATTGGTATAGCTATACTCTCATACATTCCCCTCTTTGCTTCCATGGACAAAGTTCTTTGTCCCTACAGACTCCTAAGTGCACCACTCACCTTTTTTACCCTCATCAATTCTCTGATTCACCTCATCCTTCATAGACCCGTCTGCTGACACGTCCACTCCTAAATATCTGAATACACTTCCCTCCTCCATACTCTCTCTCCAATCTGATATCCAATCTTTATTATTAATTAATGTTAACATTGAAGCATTGATAAGTCTCCATAATGTAACATTGACAAGATGACTATGTTTTGTTTTCATTTCTACTGTTTAATATCACTCATAACATATATTTATGCCAAACATTGAGAAATAATAAAGACTCCATTGAAAATCTTACATTGTTTGACTTTATCGGTTATCCTAGATTAAATCTACATATATGTATATACATGTATATATATTCCCACAACACAAGTGGGCCCCTCAAAACCATTGTAAAAATTTATCTTTCTTTAAAACCATTTGTGAGTTGTCCTAAATAAAAACTGAGCAGCACTTACTGACCGTTTTTCCTGGTACCTTGTAGATTAGTGGGAGAGTCTTCAACTTCAAACTGTATGAACTGAGATTCATTTGAGTTAATAATCCAAAGAATGTCTTCATCATTGAATATTCATTTGTTTAAATAGGCTATTGGCACTGTATGACCCTTGTAGGTTTAGTGCTTTTTTATTATAATAATAATTAAATAGGCTTTACATTGCTGTACATTAACATCTCCATTCAAAGCTGGTGAAATCGCAGAACTAGAGAGTGTACAGAGATCCTTTACTGCACGTATAAGTTCTGTCAAGCACCTTAACTACTGGGAACGCTTGGAAGCACTTGACTTGTACTCGTTGGAACGCAGGAGGGAGAGATATATCATAATCTACACTTGGAAAATCTTGGAAGGAATGGTCCCAAATCTGCACACAGAAATCACTCCCTACGAAAGTAAAAGACTGGGCAGGCGATGCAAAATGCCCCCAATAAAAGTAGGGGCGCCATTGGTACACTAAGGGAAAACACCATAAGTGTCCAGGGCCCAAGACTGTTCAACAGCCTCCCATCAAGCATTAGGGGAATTGCCAATAAACCCCTGGCTGCCTTCAAGAGAGAGCTGGACAGATACCTAAAGTCAGTGCCGGATCAGCCGGGCTGTGGCTCGTACGTTGGACTGCGTGCGGCCAACAGTAACAGCCTAGTTGATCAGGCCCTGATCCATCGGGAGGCCTGGTCATGGACCGGGCCGCGGGGGCGTTGATCCCCGAAATAACCTCCAGGTAACCTCCAGGTAGTAATATCCTTCTCAAGAGTTTAATACTGGAAACAACAATACTGTTAAGGAGGTGCCTTGGTACTGGTGAAAGGCTCTTGCTCCAGGATATTGGAACTTCCCTTCACTTCCTTGTGAAACCCAGTTGCCTTCCATTCCTCAAGCATTACACAACCCCATAAATGTAATATTAATAATGATAATACAGCAATAATGATAATGCAGTACAGTAGAACCCCCATGTTTACTGATCTAGTATCTGCAGTTTCAGTTATCCATGGTTTACTGTCGACAAAAAATACCTCATAATTTTGCATAATAATGGCCCTAAAGTGCATAAGTTAAGAAGCTGGCAGCTCTTCAGAGCCTAAGAGAAGCTTTGATGTACTTCCCATCAGTAAAAAGGTGGAAATTCTCCACTTACTGTGTATAATTTATCAATTAAACTTTATAATAGGTATGTATAAGACTTACAGAATTTGCTACTATCCATGGTTTCTGTATCCACGGCAGGTCCTTGGAACATATCCCCCAATGGATATGGGGATCCTACTGTAATTATAATAATGGAAACAACAGTGACACTTTCGGTTATGGGCTGCATAAGCTACCACCGAGAAGAGGCTCTGGTATTATCTGATCAGCTGACGTCATTTACTAAGACAAATTTGTTACGTGTAGTTAGTACTTACGCAATACATGTTGCAGTATTCTTTTCAAGGAAAATGTACACTTCCCTGTGTATATTTAACATTTACAATGTGTTTATTGCAGTAGGTTGTAAACTGAGATGCTAGTTTTAGCTTTTTCCATTTTTTTTTTTTTCAGATTTTAAAGAGGTCCTTCCAAGTGTCCTTGAAGCAATTGGCAAGGCAGATTTTGTAGCCATTGATGCAGAGTTCACTGGATTGCGGCATTATAAGACTTCAAGTTATTGTGAGCTGGACACTGCAGAAGAGAGGTTGGAATACTGGCATTGTGTGGTCTTTGGCTGTAATCTGATTCTATACACTTCTACCTTATAATTCTTTTAAACTGAAGGAGGGGTGTTAATGTTGCAGTTTTCTAACTGTAGTGTAAGCATGCCTCTGGCAAGACAGTGATGGAGTGAATGATGATGGAAGTTTTCTTTTTTGGGCCACCCTGCCTTGGTGGGAAATGGTCGATGTGTTAATAAAATAAAAAATAAAAAACTGGGTACTGTATAAGGAATCTTCTTAGCATCCTGAAGTTAGTCTGCATTGATTCATATTTAACCCTTTGAGGGTCGACAGGCCCTCTCAGATACTCGTTCTCAGGGTCGGCCAAATTTAAAAAAAAAAATAATAATTTTTTCTTATGAAAAGATAGAGAATCTTTTCCTGATCATAATGACACCAAAATTATGAGATTTGATGGAAAACTTATGGAATTGTGCTCTCGCGAAGTTAGCGGTCTCGGCGATGTTTACGCATCGGCGATTTTGCCCAATTTGAGCCCCATTTTCGGCCAATTCCTCTGTACTAGTCGACAAAAAACATGAATATTTCGCTAGAACTACATTTTTTCTATTGAATGAGTGCAAGAAACCACCCATTTACCATTTTCAACTATCTAATACAGTGGTCAGAATTTAGCAATTTTGCCAATTTCACACAAATTTCAAAAAATGCCAATTTCCGAATAGGGTCCAGAACAAACAAGAAATACATTCCTGGCACTAAAATGACATTTCTTCTGTTCATAGTCACGTCTCAAGGCCCCTCTTACATTCTTTTGCTTTCCACTTTGAATTTTTATTCTCACGAAAAATAGAAGATTTACTGTTATGCAGACTACTGCATTAGTGTAAAAAATGGTATAAATCATATTGGCGCACTTGCAAAAGAATGTTAGACTCACCAGTTGACGTGTATTGGGCGCTTGGCATGATTTGTTTACTTTTGAACTTTGGTAAAAATCGAACATTTCTGCTACTTTGAGCTCAATTTGAAGGTACTTTTCATTGTAAAACCAGTGAAAATCATCTCAATTTCTGTGATATGCATTCCATTCTATAAAATGAGACCAAGAAAACTAGAATACAACAATAAATACCATACGAAAATACAGTGCAAAGTCGCTGTTTTATGCCAAAAAAACGGTGAAAGTTTTTTTTTCTCATTATGCACTGTGTGCTGCAGGATTTTTTTTATACTGTGCACACTGACCACATAGACCCATTCTTTCATATGGAGGCCTACCAGCCTTTTCCCGCGAGATTTGACGGCGCTAGAATTTATGCGTACTAGTACGTCAAAAACCCCTGCGCGTAAGACGTACTAGTACGTCCGAAACCCTCAAAGGGTTAAACCTATTACTTGCACAGTATGTATGCACTGTCAAGTCTTGATTATTCAGTAGGATGAATTATCAGGAGTCTATTAACCGAGTCATTTCTGGTAGTTTAAAGGCTTGAACTTATGTTGCCATTCCAAATTTGCCATTTAAAACTTGGATAAATTTTGTAATTAATTCAGTTTTTGTTAATTTGTGTGTGATATGGTATGCCATAGCATCAACCCTCCCAGAGTTGGAGGGAGGGAGCAGGTAAAGGAGGTTTTGAGTTCTAGGCACTTGAACACCCAACCTCTCAAGGAAGGTTCCTTGATGTTGGTTAGGGGCTCTTGATCTAGGGAATGGGATCTGTGCTCCGGTTCCCTGAATTAAGCCTGAATACTTTCCACATTCCCCTCCCCAGGCGCTGCATAATCCTAAGGGTTTAGCGCTCCCCTTGATTATAATACTAATAATAATTGAACACCCAACAGGTATGTGAGTACATTAGACTGGAGAAAGTGGAGGCAAGTGCTTTTTTATGATTTGACATGCTGTTGGAGTATAAGCAAGGTAACATTTATGGAGGGATTCAGGGAAACCACTTAGTTGGATTTGAGTCCTAGAGGTGGGAAGTACTGTGCCTGAACTCTGAAGGAGGGGTGAGGATGTTACAGTTCAGAGGGCCATCTGAACCATGATGTAAGCACTATTCTCGCAAAGCAATAATTGACTGAATGATGGTAAATGTGTTGTCCTTTTTTTTTTCTTTTGGTCATCCTAACTTAGTGGGAGATGGTCGGTGTGTTTAAAAAAAGTATCGTATTACTAAACCTTTTTTTTTTTTTTTAACAAGTCGGCCGTCTCCCACCGAGGCAGGGTGACTTAAAAAGAAAGAAAATCCCCAAAAAGAAAATACTTTCATCATCATTCAACACTTTCACCTTACTCACACATAATCACTGATTTTGCAGAGGTGCCCAGAATACAACAATTTAGAAGCATATACGTATAAAGATACACAACATATCCCTCCAAACTGCCAATATCCTGAACCCCTCCTTTAGAGTGCAGGCATTGTACTTCCCATTTCCAGGACTCAAGTCCGGATATATAAAAATAACCGGTTTCCCTGAATCCCTTCAATAAATATTACCCTGCTCACACTCCAACAGCTCGTCAGGTCCCAAATACCATTCGTCTCCATTCACTCCTGTTGAACACGCTTACGCACACCTGCTGGAAGTCCAAGCCCCTTGCCCACAAAACCACCCTTACCCCTTCCTTCCAACCTTTACGAGGATGACCCCTACCCTGCCTTCCTTCCCCTACAGATTTATACGCTGTCCATGTCATTCAACTTTGATCCATTCTCACTAAATGACCAAACCACCTCAACAACCCCTCTTCAGCTTTCTGACTAATACAGTGGACCCCCGCTTAACGATCACCTCCAAATGCGACCAATTATGTAAGTGTATTTATGTAAGTGCGTTTGTACGTGTATGTTTAGGAGTCTGAAATGGACTAATCTACTTCACAATATTCCTTATGGGAAAAAATTCCGTCAGTACTGGTACCTGAACATACTACTGGAATGAAAAAAGTTCGTTAACCGGGGGTCCACTGTACTTTTATTAACTCCACGCTTGGTCACAGACTGGGCCGCGGGGGCGTTGACCCCCGGAACTCTCTCCAGGTAATCTCCAGGTAATCTCCAGGTAAACACTTTCTCCTAATTTCCACACTCCGAATTTTCTGCACAATATTTACACCGCACATTGCCCTTTGACAGAACATCTCCACTGCCTCCAACCGCCTCCTCGCTGCTGCATTTACAACCCAAGCTTCACACCCATATAAGAGTGTTGGTACTACTATACTTTCATACATTCCCTTCTTTGCCTCCATAGATAACGTTTTTTGTCTCCACATATACCTCAATGCACCACTCGCCTTTTTTTCTCATCAGTTCTATGATTAACCTCATCCTTCGTAAATCCATCCGCCGACACGTCAACTCCCAAATATCTGAAAACATTCACTTCTTCCATACTCCTCCTCCCCAATTTGATATCCAGTTTTTCTTTATCTAAATCATTTGATACCCTCATCACCTTATTCTTTCTCCTAAGGATGGTGTTTTGCAAGGTAATAAATACAGTATCTGTGTAGCATTGGCTTTCAGGTTGAAGGTAAAAAATCAGTGTTAAGCAGTTATTGTAGACCACCCAAAAATTTAATTTATGATTATTCAGCTTTGACTTTTGAATATCTTGTAAATAGCTGTTGCTGATATATGTTTATTATACGTTGAAATTCTCTATAGGATATTATACCTAATACATTTCAGATATGCCAAGAGCAGAGAAGCTGCACGCAGTTTTGGAATGATTCAGTTTGGAGTAACTGCATTTAGATATATGAGAGAGAAGTCAGCGTGAGTATGAACTGTTACAGTGTTACAAGAGATTTAATTTCCTTAAGAAATTGATAATGTGGTTATGATTTTTAAATGTCTTGATCAAAAAGTAGATAGTTATGGATACATTAAAGGTAATTTTAAAAAAAATTATTGTTTTACCCCACTCATATTGCATTTATATAGTTTATAATAATAATAATAATAATAATAATAGTATTAATTAAATAATAAATAATAATAATGTTAATATTAATGCTAATACATATACCCATAAAGAGTTGGAGACAGAGTGTGAAGGAGATTTTGTGTGGATAGGAGCATCAGCTGTATGAGTGTTCAATTGGAATGGAGACTAAGTGATTTTTGGAATTTGATGTTCTGAAAAGTAAAAGGACACAAGTGCAACTAATGTGACATTTATTGTGGCAACGTTTCGCTCTCCAGGAGCTTTATCAAGCCATTATCAAAGCTCCTGGAGAGCGAAACGTTGCCACAATAAATGTCACATTAGTTGCACTTGTGTCCTTTTACTTTTCATATTGTCGGTAATTCTACCAACTTTATTACAATTTGATGTTCTGTTGGAGTGTGAGTAAGGTAGCATTTATAACAGTATTTATGAAAACTAGCTAGTCTCACATAAATCTTGGGGTATTCTCGAGTGAGTATTCTCAAGTGTTGCTCTCAATTGTGATAGGACATTAATTAATGATCTTCACGATAATTATTGTTTTCTCATTTTCATTTTCTCTTGTTTGTATACCTATCCTCCACACTGCTCTTCTTTTCTGGTTGCCATTGTTTTTGACAACAGTGTTCCATTCCAGTTATGAAGTGGTTGTGGTAGTTAAGGTGCACTATGCAGGTGATGTTAAGGTTGTCCATTCTGCTGTCATACGGATGTTCTTAGAAGAGTTTGTTTTACTCTGGTTTTTTCACCCAGAAAAGAAGAATCTTTAAAGTTGCACTTAACAGTATTTCCAATAATTTCAGTCAAACCAACAGTTTCTGTAACTTAGCTGAACTGCTTGCCAGAAAACTACTTGGATACTTGAGAATTAATATGTCCTGATGTGAACCCCACTTGCTCTTCACCTCATCCCTGCTCACTATTTATGCTTGACTGTAGGGCAATTAATTGTAGCTCTTTTGTTTACCATCCGATTTCCTCCAGTTTTGGTGCACAAGACAAAGTGTTTTCACACCGTGTAAAAAATGTTTGTCAAAAATATACCTCAAACAACAACTGAGAAAAGACTGAAAAAGGACTGATTTACAGAAAATGCCCTTTGGCAGGAAGGTAGTCCTACATGGGACGACGTAAGGTTGTTTGGGCACTTGGTGCCCAAGAAATTATAGTCATTTATATCAGGTAAGGTGACGGTGATATGGGTAGCGCGTTTGCTCACAGCCCATATATTTTTTGGAATTTTTTCCTTGTTTTTTATCGCTTTTTCTTGCATTATTCTTTCTAATATAATAACTGACTATTTGGCATCATATAAAAGTAGGCGGAGCTTATCCGTAGAGTGCCAGCCAATCAGGCACCATCTGGGAACACTCGGCAGTATTCCCGATCCAGAGAGCCAGGAGAAATCTCCAATATTATGCTTATATCAGCTTATCTATCAACTCTACAGCTTATTTATCTATCAGAATTGATCTAATATGATATAATAAACACTATAAATAACATACAAACATGTTATATACTCTAGACTGAATAAAATAAACCATAATATGGCGATAGACCATCGGGAATATTTTGATATAAATGAGTTACTGCTCTCCATGTCATATTCTTTGGTCTTTGAGCAAGAGAAAACGGTGTTTTGAAGAGGATAACTGCACTAGAACATCAGTTTACTAAGAAATACACCGAAACACACTATTTTCGCGATTTTTTTTTTTTCGAGATGGTGGGCAGGCCGGCACTCCAGGCCAATGTCTCGGAAGTAACTTATTCACTTATTTCGCTAAGGTGCGCCTTTATTACTTAATTAAGTGGAATAATATTCACAGAAATGGTAAAATAATGATTTCTCTAATTAATTCAGAGGGAATTTTGGAAATATTCCAAATACTTTGGGATTTATGTGGGAGTAAAGGGCAGATTTTTTTCAACATTCCAAGAACTAACAAACTTTATTTTTTTGTGAAATAAAGATAAGTTATTTAGAGGAAAGGCCTTGTGGAAAATTAGTATTAGCATTGTTCTCTCGGCACCAAGTGTCCAAACAACCTTACGTCGTCCCATGTAGGACTACCTTCCTGCCAAAGGGCATTTTCTGTAAATCAGTCCTTTTTCAGTCTTTTCTCAGTTGGTGTTTGAGGTATATTTTTGACAAATATTTTTTACACGGTGTGAAAACACTTTGTCTTGTGCGCCAAAACTGGAGGAAATCGGACGGTAAACAAAAGAGCTACAATTAATTTCCCTACAGTCAAGCATAAATAGTGAGCAGGGATGAGGTGAAGAGCAAGTGGGGTTCACATCAGGACATATTAATTCTCAAGTATCCAAGTAGTTTTCTGGCAAGCAGTTCAGCTAAGTTACAGAAACTGTTGGTTTGACTGAAATTATTGGAAATAGACAACCTTAACATCACCTGCATAGTGCACCTTAAGGTGCACTATGCAGGTGATGTTAAGGTTGTCCATTCTGCTGTCATACGGATGTTCTTAGAAGAGTTTGTTTTACTCTGGTTTTTTCACCCAGAAAAGAAGAATCTTTAAAGTTGCACTTAACAGTATTTCCAATAATTTCAATCAAACCAACAGTTTCTGTAACTTAGCTGAACTGCTTGCCAGAAAACTACTTGGATACTTGAGAATTAATATGTCCTGATGTGAACCCCACTTGCTCTTCACCTCATCCCTGCTCACTATTTATGCCTGACTGTTCTCACCAAATTTGTCTGTCTGTGACTTGACGAAGCCCACTGCTTGGGTGAAATGTCATCCATAATGGATTCCATAATGTTGCATTTTTGCCTCTTTACCATGTGCTTAAAATAAAATTTTCTTTGTTTTGATTTAATAAAAATATTAACTGATTTCAGATATTCCCATGCCACATTTTGCTTCTACCTGCTTGGGAAAACAGGAGAAATTCTGTACTATGACAATTGCAGTCTCAAATTCTTGGCTGACTGTGGATTTGATTTCAATAAATTATATAAAAGTAAGTATTTTGGATAGTAGTTTCATGTTTCTTTGATTATTAATGTATACTTTTAGCTGCCGAGAATTCTTGAATACAGTGGACCCCGGTTTATGATATTATTTCATTCCAGAAGTATGTTCAGGTGCCAGTACTGAACGAATTTGTTCCCATAAGGTATATTGTGAATTAGATTAGTCAGTTTCAGACCCCCAAACATACACGTACAAACGCACTTACATAAATACACTTACATAATTGGTCGCATTGGGAGCTGATCGTAAAGTGGGGGTTCACTGTATTTTGTTGGATTAAATTTAACTCTTTTGGGATTATTAAATCATCTTTCAACGAACCAGCTGTATCCCATCAAAGCAGGGTGGCCCAAAAAGAAAAATGAAAGTTTCTCTTTTTAAATTTAGTAATTTATGCAGAAGGGGTTACTAGCCCCTTGCTCCCGGCATTTTAGTCGCCTCGTACAAAATGCGTGGCTTACTGAGGAAGAATTCTGTTTCACTTCTCCATGAAAAAAAAATTTCTTTATATAATTACCTTATTTGTGTACACCAGCTCTGTCTCAAGATTAGCAGACACAGGGTTGAATCTACACTTCTCCCTTCTCCAAATAATCCATGCAAGTTTATCATTTCACACACAATACTTTGAGAGCTTCAGTACCTGTGTTTCAATTCAGATATTACACAGTAAAGGGTCACTGTGTACAAAGTTATGTTAGCATGTGTTGAAGTTTGAGAATCATAGAAAATATTGCTGAAAACTCCTTAGAGAAATGAGAATGCCGTTTTTTTTTTTTTTTTTTTTTTTTTTTTTTTTGCAACCATTATACAGAAACTAGTAATTGTTTCATTCTGAAATCCAATTTTTTTTTTTTTTTTAAGGTGGGCTCTCCTACCTTTCCCTACTGGAAGAAGCTGAAGAAAGAGCAGAATATGCTAACCACTCCTTAGAACCACAAACACCATCTCCAATAAAAGTTAGTATAACCTCAGTATTATTTGTTCATCAGTTTATTAGATGTTCAACAGTACATAAAAAAGGTGTATGTACTGTGTTATGCTACCTTATTATAAATACAATATAACAATAGTTATGCATCCTGTTACTGCCATGGTAGTTTACTGTTTATGTATACTTGCTTATTGGCATGTAATGGTGCTGTTGTCCCCCCCCCCTTCCCTCTACCATTTGTTTGTCCTCGTCCATGTAGCAGAGGACAGACAGATGGAAGGCTCTGAACCATCACAGGTTTAGAGCTTTCTGTCATTATAGCATGTATTATGGTTTGTTTTAATTACACAACTATTGGGTTCTTGGCTATTGTTTACTGGTTAACTTGCAGTAATTTTTAGATATGCTATGGTAAATTGATTAGGTATAGGTAATCTATTTTTCTACCCAATATTGTCTCTCTCCCTCCAAGAAGAAAAAACATTCAGTTGCTTTCTTGCCAGAAGTGTGGTGACATCACAATTCAGATTACCTTCTGATTACAGCATCCCCATCCCTCCTTCAGAGTGCAGTTAATGTCCTTCCCATCTCCAGGGCTAAAATCAGGCTAACCGGTTTGTCCTTATTCCCTTCAAAAGTTACCTTCCTCTTGCTTCAGCAGCATGTACTTTAAATACCAGTTATCCTATTATTCACTCCTACATGCTCACACAAGCCAACTGGATGCTGAATCCCCAAAAACTCAAAGCCTCCTTTACTCTCTGCCTCCAACCAATTTTGGGATGACCCTTACTCCTACATCCTCCCCAGATTGATTCAACCTCTTTGCTAACCTATCCCTCTCCATCCTTTCTACTTGCCCAACCACCTCAACAACTCTTCTTCATCCCTTGGAATTATACTTTTGGTAACCCCACAATGCTTTTTTAGTTACATAATGATCACTTGCTGAGAGAGATTTCTTCTTACACTTGGTCATGTTGGAAAACAGAGATGGTGAACCATGTTAATATTTTTATTTTATTTTATTATTATCACACTGGCCTATTCCCACCAAGGCAGGGTGGCCCAAAAAAGAAAAACTTTCACCATCATTCACTCCATCACTGTCTTGCCAGAAGGGTGCTTTACACTACAGTTTTTAAACTGCAACATTAACACCCCTCCTTCAGAGTGCAGGCACTGTACTTCCCATCTCCAGGACTCAAGTCCGGCCTGCCGGTTTCCCTGAACCCCTTCATAAATGTTACTTTGCTCACACTCCAACAGCACGTCAAGTGTTAAAAACCATTTGTCTCCATTCACTCCTATCAAACACGCTCATGCATGCCTGCTGGAAGTCCAAGCCCCTCGCACACAAAACCTCCTTTACCCCCTCCCTCCAACCTTTCCTAGGCTGACCCCTACCCCGCCTTCCTTCCACTACAGACTGATACACTCTTGAAGTCATTCTGTTTCGCTCCATTCTCTCTACATGTCCGAACCACCTCAACAACTCTTCCTCAGCCCTCTGGACAACAGTTTTGGTAATCCCGCACCTCCTCCTAACTTCCAAACTACGAATTCTCTGCATTATGTTCACACCACACATTGCCCTCAGACATGACATCTCCACTGCCTCCAGCAGTGGAAATATTTGTACATTAGAAAGCATCAAGCTGGTTTGTAATATCAAGGCATTGGAATATTTAATTTGACAACACATCCTCTGTGATATTACAGTTGACAGTCTTGTGGCAAGTTCACTCTCTAGCTAATTGCTAGTTCCAGGAATTGTACCTCTTGTATGGAATTTCAAGATATTTTTTTAATGCATACACTAATGTTGTACTTTTCTTGTAACCCCATTATAGTTCATGATACAGAAACATCATCCAATTTTGATTTCCAGTTTATGAGTTTGTTGTCACATTTGGAGTTTAGTAAGGGACGGTGCACCTGTTTTATCTTGTTAAATTAATAAAATAAGGCTTAAGATATAAAATAGTTTAGGTATTATTTATTTAGCCATGCATTATAAAGTTAGATAAAAAGAATCTTACACAAGTTAATGGCATATTTTTATTAATGTAAAGTTTTCTTTCTGCTTATCGTATAAAGGTAGCAGAGGAGAGTGCAAAAAAATTCTTGGAAGAGGTGGAAGCAAAAATGAAATTGCTAATGGCAGATGAGTCACAACAAGTTCTTGTGCTTCCTGGCAACAATATTTCTCCTTTTTTCCGGAAGATCTTGTACAACAATATTGCAGCCAAGTTCAAAAATATTCTTGTTCGTCTTGTAACAACAAACGATGAGAAAAATATTGAGATAAGGAAGTTTGAGTCGCCTGAATCTCGAATAAAATTTCTTGAAGAGGAGAGAGAGCGCAAACTAGATGAAAAGGTTGGTTGATCTAATTGGACTTAAATGTAAAAAAAAAAAAAAATATTTTTATTCTAAGTGCTTGCATAAAATTAATAAAATTATGGTAAATATTATTTGGTTTAACTTCAAAATTATATTCTTCACTGTGATTTAGTTATTAATGAAATAGTTTCTTAGCAGCTTGGCTGTCTGCTCTGCCTTGAAGGGATATGTGATCACACCATTGTTATAATTGAGAGAGAGAAACTGTTTTGAAAAAATAGTTTAATTGGTGTGGTTTTTTTGTGCTAAGCATCATTATTATTGTTATTAGTATTAGTTGTATTAATACTGATTATTACTATTTTGTTTATATTATTTGTTTTTATATATAATAATTTATTATTTTTATATTTATTATTATTATATATATATATTTTTTTTAACAAGTCGGCCGTCTCCCACTGAGGCAGGGTGACCCAGAAAAAGAAAATCCCCGAAAAGAAAATACTTTCATCATCATTCAACACTTTCACCTCACTCACACATTATCACTGTTTTTGCAGAGGTGCTCAGAACACAACAGTTCAGAAGCATATATGTATAAAGATACACAACATATTATTATATTTATTATTTTTTTATTAACACATTGGCCGTCTCCCACCAAGGCAGGGTGGCCCAAAAAAGAAAAACCTTTATCATTCACTCCATCACTGTCTTGCCAGAGGCGTGCTTACGCTACAGTTATTAAACTGCAATATTAACACCCCTCCTTCAGAGTGCAGACACTCGACTTCCCATCTCCAGGACTCAAGTACAGCCTTCTGGTTTCCCTGAACCCCTTCATAAATGTTACTTCACTCACACTCTAACAGCACAACAAATCCTAGAAACCATTTGTCTCCATTCACTTCTATCAAACACGCTCACACATGCTTGCTGGAAGTCCAAGCCCCTCACACACAAAACCTCCTTTACCCCCTCTCTCCAACCTTTCCTAGGCCGACCCCTACCCCACCTTTCTTCCAATACAGATTTATACACTCGAAGTCATTCTATTTTGTTCCATCCTCTCTACATGTCTATTATTATTATATTTATTATTATTATTATTATTCTTTCAACACACCGGCCGTATCCCATTGAGGTGGGGTGGCCCAAAACGAAAAAAAAAAGTTTCTCCTTTTACATTTAGTAATATTTACAGGAGAAGGGGTTACTAGCCCCTTGCTCCTGGCAATTTAGTCACCTCTTACAACACGCATGGCTTACGGAGGAAGAATTCTGTTCCACTTCCCCATGGAGGTAAGAGGAAATAAACAAGAACAAGAACTAGAAAGAAAATAGAAGAAAACCCAGAGAGGTGTGTATGTGTATATATGCTTGTACATGTATGTGTAGTGTGACCTAAGTGTAAGTAGAAGTAGCAAGACATTCCTGAAATCTTGCATGTGTATGAGACAGAAAGAAAAGACACCAGCAATCCTACCATCATGTAAAACAATTACAGGCTTCCATTTTACACTCGCTTGGCAGGACGGTAGTACCTCCCTGGGCGGTTGCTGTCTACCAACCTACTACCTAGGATTATTATTATTATAATTATTATTATTCTTCTTTCTTTCTTTCAACACACCGGCCGTATCCCACCGAGGCGGGGTGGCCCAAAAGGAAAAACGAAAGTTTCTCCTTTTACATTTAGTAATATATACAGGAGAAGAGGTTACTAGCCCCTTGCTCCCGGCATTTTAGTTGCCTCTTACAACACGCATGGCTTACGGAGGAAGAATTCTGTTCCACTTCCCCATGGAGATAAGAGGAAATAAACAAGAATAAGAACTAGAAAGAAAATAGAAGAAAACCCAGAGAGGTGTGTATGTGTATATATGCTTGTACATGTATGTGTAGTGTGACCTAAGTGTAAGTAGAAGTAGCAAGACATTCCTGAAATCTTGCATGTGTATGAGACAGAAAGAAAAGACACCAGCAATCCTACCATCATGTAAAACAATTACAGGCTTCCATTTTACACTCGCTTGGCAGGACGGTAGTACCTCCCTGGGCGGTTGCTGTCTACCAACCTACTACCTAGGATTATTATTATTATAATTATTATTATTATTATTATTATTATTATTATTATTAGATTTATTATTATTATTTTTTTTAACATGGTCATTTCCCACTGAGGCAGGGTGACCCAAAAAGAAAGAAAAAACTTTCATCATCATTCAACACTTTCACCATCACTCATACATAATCACTGTCTTTGCAGAGGCACTCAGATACGACAGTTTAGATGTCCCTCCAAGCTGCCAGTATCCCAAGCCCATCCTTTAAAGTGCAGGCATTGTACTTCCCATTTCCAGGACTCAAGTCCGGCTAACCGGTTTCCCTGAATCCCTTCTCGAAATATTGCAGGATCCTCTAATAACATTATTGTTATAGTAGTAGGTTGGTAGACAGCAACTGCCCAGGGAGGTACTACCATCCTGTCAACTGAGTGTAAAACAGAAGCCTGTATTTGTTTTACATGATGGTAGGATTGCTGGTGTCCTTTTTTCTGTCTCATAAACATGCAAGATTTCAGGTACGTCTTGCTACTTCTACTTACATTTAGGTCACACTACACATACGTGTTTTTTTTTTTTTTTTTTTTTTTTTTCAACAAGTTGGTCGTCTCCCACCGAGGCAGGGTGACCCAAAAAAGAAAGAAAATCCCCAAAAAGAAAATACTTTCATCATCATTCAACACTTTCACCACACTCACACATTATCACTGCTTTTGCAGAGGTGCTCAGAATACAACAGCTTAGAAGCATATACGTATAAAGATACACAACATATCCCTCCAAACTGCCAATATCCCAAACCCCTCCTTTAAAGTGCAGGCATTGTACTTCCCATTTCCAGGACTCAAGTCCGACTATAAGAAAATAACCGGTTTCCCTGAATCCCTTCACTAAATATTACCCTGCTCACACTCCAACAGATCGTCAGGTCCCAAGTATCATTCGTCTCCATTCACTCCTATCTAACATGCTCATGCACGCTTGCTGGAAGTCCAAGCCCCTCGCCCACAAAACCTCCTTTCCAACCCTTTCGAGGACGACCCCTACCCCTCTTTCCTTCCCCTATAGATTTATATGCTTTCCATGTCATTCTACTTTGATCCATTCTCTCTAAATGACCAAACCACCTCAACAACCCCTCTTCTGCCCTCTGACTAATGCTTTTATTAACTCCACACCTTCTCCTAATTTCCACACTCCAAATTTTCTGCATAATATTTACACCACACATTGCCCTTAGACAGGACATCTCCACTGCCTCCAACCGTCTCCTCGCTGCTGCATTTACCACCCAAGCTTCACATCCATATAAGAGTGTTGGTACTACTATACTTTCATACATTCCCTTCTTTGCCTCCATAGATAATGTTTTTTGACTCCATATATACCTCAACACACCACTCACCTTTTTTCCCTCATCAATTCTATGATTAACCTCATCCTTCATAAATCCATCCGCCGACACGTCAACTCCCAAGTATCTGAAAACATTCACTTCTTCCATACGTGTACAAGCATATATATACACACACCCCTCTGGGTTTTCTTCTATTTTCTTACTAGTTCTTGTTCTTGTTTATTTCCTCTTACCTCCATGGGGAAGTGGAACAGAATTCTTCCTCTGTAAGCCATGCGTGTTGTAAGAGGCGACTAAAATGCCAGGAGCAAGAGGCTAGTAACCCCTTCTCCTGTATATATTACTAAATATAAAAGGAGAAACTTTCGTTTTTCCTTTTGGGCCACCCCGCCTCGGTGGGATACGGCCGGTGTGTTGAAAGAAAGAAAGAGAAGAAAACATGTAAGATTTCAGGTACATCTTGCTATTTCTACTTACACCTAGGTCACACTACACATGCATGTACACATTTATGTATACACACTCATATGAGTTTTCTTTGATTTTATCTTAATACTTCTTTTCTTATTACTTTTCCTTTCATATCCATGGGGAAGTGGAATAAGAATCCTCTGTAAGCCACGTGTGTGGTAAAAGTCAACTAAAATGCTGGGAGCAATAGGCTAGTAACCCCTTTTCCTCTGTAGCTTACTAAAGAGAAAAGAATACTGTAAATGTGGAAAGTAAATTACTGGTACTGTAATATGATATTGCCATTAGTGGCTCTCTCATATATACCTGACCAGAACCTGTGACACCCAGGGTAATAAACATTTTTTATATAAACATTATCTCCAGTTTTCTTATGTTTTAACCCAGCTGATGCAAAGGGAAGGAGGCAAAAGATATGTAACGTGAGTGCTGTGACTAATGATGCAGGAAATAACAGGTTTACTCTCATCTGTGGAGACCAATGACTCCCAGAGTGAAACAATGTATGTATGAGCATCACATTTTCCTTAGAGTATATGTCTGCTGATGCAGAAAAAACTAATTTGCCCTCATAAGTGAGAAATGAAAATTATAAACCAACTTATACATGAGGTTATGCAAAAATTTAATTATTGGGGTGAAAGTATACCCTGCATCTTAAGGCCTGCCTTGACTAATGGCTGGTATTACGTGGTACAATTGCTCCGAGGCTGCCTTGCCTAATACAGTGGACCCTCGCCTAACGATGGCATCGCATAACGTTAAATCCGCCTAGTGATACATTTTAACACAAAAATTTTGCCTCGCCTAGCGCTAAAAAACTCGCTCAACGCGATTCGTCGGAAACGCGTCCACTTGCGGCCTGAGCCAGCTTCACTTGTTCCGTGGGTGGCAGTGTTTACAAGCCAGCCTCCGCGGTCACATCTAAGCATACAATCGGAACATTTCATATTATCACAGCGTTTTTAGTGATTTCACCTGCAAAATAAGTGACCATGGGCCCCAAGAAAGCTTCTAGTGCCAACCCTGTGGTAAAAAGGGTGAGAAATACTATTGTACCACAGTCAGCTGCTGCTGCACCACCGTCAGCTGTTGCTGGACCAGTCAGCTGTTGCTGCACCACAGCTGCTGCTGTACCACAGTCAGCTGCTGCTGCACCTCAGTCAGCTGTTGCTGCAATAGAGTCAGCTGCTGCTGCACTACAGCTGCTGCTGCACCACAGTCAGCTGTTGCTGTTGCTGCACCACCACCAGCTGTATTACTCGAAGATGTGGAGAGTGTGTTGTTGGTATGGCTTAACATGAAACAGTTACCGAGAAACGATTAACCCCAGAGGGTTAGCCACCCAGGATAACCCAAGAAAGTCAGTGCATCATCGAGGACTGTCTAACTTATTTCCATTGGGGTCCTTAATCTTGTCCTCCAGGATGCGACCCACAACCGTTGACTAACACCCAGGTGAACAGGAAAAAATGCCTGGAACTAGTGCTCATATTGGTGAGGTTAGTGGGGAGGATGTGGAAGAGTTGGTGGAGGAGGACAATGACGAACTAACCACTGTTGAGCTGCTAGATCATCTTCAACAGCAAGAGGCCAAACCTGAGGAAACTGCTTCGGAGGAGGGGAGAGAGAAATTGAAGAAGTTGCCTACTTCAAAGATTAAGGAAATGTGTGCAATGTGGCTTGAAGTGCAAACCTTTTTTGATGAAAATCACCCTGACACAGCTATTGCAAGCTGTGCTGGTGACTATTACACTAACAATGTTGTGAACCACTTTAGGAAAGTCATAAAGGAACGAGAGGTACAGGCCTCTATGGACAGATATATTGTGCGACAGAGGTCCAGTGACTCTCAAGCTGGTCCTAGTGGCATTAAAAGAAGAAGGGAAGTAACCCCGGAAAAGGACTTGACACCTCAAGTTCTAATGGAAGGGGATTCCCCTTCTAAACACTAAGACATCCGCACTCTCCCCTCCTCCCATCCCATCAGTCATCACCAGATCTTCAATAAAGGTAATAAAGGTATTGTACATCTCTTCTTCAGTTTGTGTGTATTAAAATTAATATTTCATGTGGTAAAAAAAATTTTTTTTCATACTTTGGGGTGTCTTGCACAGATTACTGTAATTTGATTTCTGTTATTTCTTATGGGGAAAATTAATTCCCCTAACGATAATTTTGCCTAACGTTGAGCTCTCAGGAACGGATTAATATCGTTAGGCGAGGGTCCACTGTATAGTGTTATATTCTGTGCCCTTATGCCTTCTTAGAATATTTCTCTGTTTTTAGGTTTTCTTTTTTTTCTGTGGTGTTAGCTGTATAACCTTTTGCACATTACTTCACTTATATTTTCTTTCCTGTTCGTTACCTACCATCCTCTTTACCACAACAGTTCATGTTGTTCATTTATTTGTATAGTACTGTAATGATATTTGTCAAAAATTGCAAAACTGTACTTTTCTGTTACAATAAATCCCTTTCAGATTGGCTTTACTCACGTGATTCGTAAGATATTAGAGACTAAAAAGCCAGTTGTGGGTCACAATTTGGTTTTAGACTTGTTTCATATGATGGAAAAGATGGTTCAACCGTTACCAGAAAAATGGGAGCAGTTCAAGAATGTTTTCAAGTGTAATGTTCCCACTGTATATGATACCAAACTCATAGCAAAGGATCCTCCTTTCTGGTAGGTTTACATATGTAAAGTTGTATTTTAATAATCTTGGCTTATGAAATATTGTCTTTTCCTTACTCTTAATTAAATTTAATTTCTTTCTGATAATCCTCATACACTTTATACTGTACGTATTTTAATATTTTATATTTCTGAGTAAAGGCAGCAGTTTTGGCTAACTAATCATGTAGAAATGGAAAATATTTTGGAAATAATATTAAAGTTGCTCATATAATTATGAAAGTGCTCAAAAATATTTCATGATTTAAATCTTGTGAAGAGAATTTTTTTTTATCTTTTACTTTGAATGTGAACAAAATATTTGTTGGCTAGATGTACAGTATCTGAATTTTTTTTTTATAAGGACAATTTCATTGATAACAGTGGTGTATTCACTATTTGTGTGCTACTATGCAATTTAAAATTACACATCTGATCATTGGAGAGGACCTATTTGAAATTGAAAAGTGCCAGTTGCTACCAGGTGGACACATCCAGATTGATTGATTCAAAAGACAAGCATAACTCTGTTTATTTTGGTAGTGAGGAAAAGCACTTAATATTTTTTTTTTTTTTCAACAAGTCGGCTGTCTCCCACCGAGGCGGGGTGACCCAAAAAGAAAGAAAATCCCCAAAAAGAAAATACTTTCATCATCATTCAACACTTTCACCTCACTCACACATAATCACTGTTTTTGCAGAGGTGCTCAGAACACAACAGTTTAGAAGCATATACGTCAAAAAACTTTAAAAGGTCACCGATGATTCTAATATTACCTAACGTGGTGCAGACTAAAACTAAACGTAAATGTGTGATGGGGAAAAAACATTTCATATTTTCAAATTCCATCAATATAAATTAATTAAGAAAGGTGGCAAAAAAAAAGACACAGGGCATTTACAAATATCTCTTAAGTTTTGGGAAGAGAGAAGTACAATGCTTGTACACGTACTCTGATTATGGGTGGAAATGTTTTAGTTAAGTGGGGCATTTGAGTTGTGATGTTGATGCATTTATGGCAAGACAATTGTTGAATGAGTGATGGCAAATGTATTTTCTTCCTTGGATCACATTATCTTATAGAAAATAACTGATTTAATTTTTTTTTCTGTGCTTGTAGTGGGTGTGTACTTTCCTCTCATGCTCTCTTGTTCTGTTGCTTACAATGGTAAAGAGTTGGTAGTGAATGGCCAGTCGCCAAGAAACTAGGAAACCATTTTTAAGGCTTTTTGCCTTAACAAATCTTTAATTAAATCTGTAGGCTTAATAAATCCCTTTTTTAGGGTGAAATGTTTCACATTCCTAGTAAAGAGCCTATTGTTGTTTGTCTCAGATATCTTGAAATCTTTTGTATTTCATGATGATGTCACAGTATAACATTACTCAACTCAAAAGTTGATTTTCTTCATATGATAGGATGAAAATAAAATTGATAGCACATTTTTACTATGTTGTCCAGTACTGGTGGTAATGTGTAGCCAGGGGCTTTAACCAGTATAAGAGGAACTCAGCCTATCCTCCTGGTGTCAGCACTGATTTTTATACTTATTCACTTGGGCCAGTTTCTCTTACATAGGCTGTTTGTTTTGTTAGGCTAGGTTCATGTCAGTTAACTAAAAATTAACCAATATTACACATTAACACCATTAAATGTAGTAATGCATTGCAGTGAGACTATTTTGCAACGAGCAGAAAATGGAGAACTACTGAGAGGACTGCAGTGCCTTATGACCCTTATGGATTTAGTGCTTAGTTCTTCTTTCAACAAACTGGGCATATTTCACCAAAGCAGGAGTGCTTAGTTATGATTATAATCACTACTGTAAAATCCCAACATTTCTATTTTTATAATGCAGTCATTTAACCGACAAACTTGAGTTACAGTAAAATATCAATGTTTGTCTAGGACAGTCTGGAGGAGGCTTTTAGTGCTGAGTACTCAACAGAAAATAGAAAAGTGCACTGTGATCTACCCAGGAAGCAGGTTTCATGCAAGTTACTTTTCTCCATAAAAATTTGTAGGGTTATGTTACTGGAGGTCCCACTGACTCCAGAATTCATGAATTCCACTAAGTGCTATCTGTATAATAAACTTAATTTTGAATTATCCCTACTCAATTCTTTCTCCTTTCTGGACATTTTCATGAATGTCATTTATAACAAGGTTAAACCAGTATTCAGAGATATGAGGTCTCTAGGAAATTTAGAGGGAACAATAAATGATAAAATATGTTGGTGACAAAAGATAATTATATGTAAATTGCAAATGATGTGAGTTGTTTTCTAAACATTTAAATAATTTCATAATCACCTCTCTCAACTGTCATGTCCTCATGTATCAGAACATCATTTGTCATGATATTATCTATCAAGACTTCATTTGTCATGATCTCATCTATCAAGACTTCATTTGTCAGGACTTCACTAGTGAGGAGCTGAATTATGGTATTTTTAAGACCCAACCCACCCTGCAAAATTAGCTCCCATCTCTTTTATTTTATTTATTACCACTGCATGTCACGTATATTTTTCATTCTTTCGTCTCTTCCTCCTTTGCTTGGGTGCATAACTGACAGCTGACAACCACTGGGCACTAACTGTTCATAGAAACAGGTCAGGAACAGGTGAGTTATGCCAAGGTTGCCAGTGCCATTGTTTAACTATATTTTTTTTTTTTCAACAAATCGGCCATCTCCCATCGAGGCAGGGTGACCCAAAGAGAAAGAAAATCCCCAAAAAGAAAATACTTTCATCATCATTCAACACTTTCACCTCACACATAATCACTATTTTTGCAGAGGTGCCCAGATTACAACAGCTTAGAAGTATATACGTATAAAAATACACAATATATCTCTCCAAACTGCCAATATCCCAAACCCCTCCTTTAGAGTGCAGGCATTGTACTTTTCATTTCCAGGACTCAAGTCCGGTTATATAAAATAACCGGTTTCCCTGAATCCCTTCACTAAATATTACCCTGCTCACACTCCAACAGATCGTCAGGTCCCAAATACCATTTGTCTCCATTCACTCCTATCTAACACGTTCACGCACGCTTGCTGGAAGTCCAAACCCCTCGCCCACAACACCTCCTTTACCCCCTCCCTCCAACCTTTTCAAGGATGACCCCTACCCCACCTTCCTTCCCCTACAGATTTATATGCTGTCCATGTCATTCTACTTTGATCCATTCTCTCTAAGTGACCAAACCACTTCAACAAACCTTCTTCAGCCCTCTGACTAATACTTTTTTTTAACTCCACACCTTCTAATTTCCACACTCCGAATTTTCTGTGTAATATTTACACCACACATTGCTCTTAGACAGGACATCTCCACTGCCTCCAACTGCCTCCTTGCTGCAGCATTTACAACCCAAGCTTCACACCCATATAAGAGTGTTGGTACTACAATACTTTCATACATTCCCTTCTTTGCCTCCATACATAACATTTTTTGCCTCCACATATACCTCAATGCACCACTCACCTTTTTTCCTTCATCAATTCTATCATTAACCTCATCCTTCATAAATCCATCCGCTGACACATCAACTCCCAAATATTTGAAAACATTCACTTCTTCCATACTCTTCCCCCCCAATTTGATATCCAATCTTTCTTTATCTAAATCATTTGATACTCTCATCACCTTACTTTTTTCTATGTTCACTTTCAACTTTCTACCTTTACACACTATATATATTACCAGGTAATTAATCTATAACATTCAGTTTTGTTCAATTTTGTTCTGATTGTATTATTATTAATTTCAGTGTGGACATTCCATTCACATCTCTAGGAAATCTGTTCAGTGAGCTGTGTAGCAAGTTTAGCCCCCCACAGTTTGTAATTGAAAATGGATACAAAAGCTACAAAATAGGCACCAACAGCAAGGCTCATGATGCCGGCTATGATGCGTTCATGACAGGTGTCTGTTTTATTGCAATGATCAAGAAGCTGGGTAAGCAACTTGCTGCTGTTTTGATTTATTTTTTCTTTCTCTCTTTATGCAGTATATATTTATACAGAATATGTACAGAATGTTTTTTCATGGATGTCTACTGAATGTGTTTTCAAGTATACTGTATATATACAGTGTTTATTTTCCAGAACATGTATAGGATTAGTATTAAAAATATCTGGCAGCACTGTGCAAATTTTAGCTTTCTTCTGGCATATTTGACATTTTTTAATAAGGTCAGTCTGTTGTATCAGATTTATTCTCTTGATGTTCACTGTTTACTTGAGCACCTAGAATATACCTGCATCTCTTAATATGTGTAAACCTCAAATCCACTACTTTAGAAAACCTGCTACTTGTTAAAAAAAGTTGTTCTGTATTGACCTTTAGGTGAAATTTGTTTTGGTTTCAGTAAACATTTATTTATTTATATATTTAATTTATTTATTTAGTTATTTAATAGTTTAAGCTACATCTAGCTTGTTTTTGATAATCATTTCAAATTTTCTAAAGTTTGCAATAAACATTTCATCATTCATTGCTCTTCAGTTAGTTTTGACTCTTGCTTTCTTTACAGATGGTGCTAACTGGAAGAATAAGTCTGTAGTTACGTCAAAGCATCTAGTCATGTATGCTAACAGGTTAGATCAGTGTTTGGATAAGCCATTCCTTGTGGTTACATGTAAACCCATTGATATAACAGACCTCTGTATGATGGACTTAAGAAATATGGAACAAAATCTGCTGGGTCAGTTGATTTGGAAAAAAACAAATTATGTTAATTACAGATTTTCCTGTTATTGTTACTATTATGCCAAGACAATCTCTTTGCTATCTCCCTCACTACCCCCTATTAGTCCATTCATATATTGCCAGTACAGGGTTGTTAACTAATGCACATGCTCTTTTTCTGGTGTTCCAAATTATGAACAAGGTGTTTGTAGCTCAGAGCCTATTTTCCTATAGAAGGCAGTAATATAAATAATTGCATTTCAGTATTCATAAAATGGTTATTTTTAAATACTTTTTACAAACCTTCATAACATTTGCATCTGTAGTGGAGGGAAGACAGGGTAGGGGTTGTCTTAGGATAGCATGGAGGGAGGGGGTAAAGGAGGTGTTGTGTGCAAGGGGCTTGGGCATTCAGCAGATGTGTGAGTGTGTTCAATAGGAGTGAGTGGAGACAAATGGTTTTTGGGACTTCACGAGCTGTTGGAGTGTCAGCAGGGCAATATTTTGTGAGGGGTTTTAGGGAAACTGGTTAGTAGGACTTGAGTCCTTGAGGTGGGAAGTACAATGCCTACACTCTAAAGGAGGAGTTTAGGATATTTACTGTTTAGAGGGACATTTAAGCTGTCGTATCTGTGTGCCTCTGGCAAGACAGTGATAGTTTAAATGATGGTTAAAGTGTTTCTTTTTTGGGTCACCCTACCTCAGTGGGAGATGGCCAGCATATTAAAACAAAATTAAGATAATTTTTTTTTTTAATTTTTGAGTAAAACATTTACATTTTACTTCTATTACTGGTGAGAAGGAAATTTTTATAATACAGATAACCTAATAACACAATTAAGAAAATTCAGAAAAATCAGTTTTTTTATTTTTAATTCACCAGCTATCTCCCACTAGGTAGAGTGACTCAAAATAGAGGAAATACATTCACCATCACACAGTTGCTGCCTTGCCAAAAGCACACTGACATCACAGTTCAGATGGCCTGCTGAACTGCAACATCACCACCCCTTCTTCAGAGTGCAGGCTCTGTTTCCCATCTCCAGGACTCACTTGGCTAACCAGCTTTCCTGGCTGCCTTCATAAGTATTATCTTGTTCTCACTCCAACAGTGCATCAAGTCATAAAAAACAGGTGCTTCCACTATGATCTAACCTACTTGTACAGGCCTGTTGTATGTTCAAACCCAGCATTCAAAACCTTTACCACCTCCCTCCCTATTTCTTTTTATAAGCTATGTCAATAAGTTAAAATAAAATACAGTAGCTTTAGTGGCTCACCTATATTTTGTGAAATCTCTGAATGAAGAATCAGTACTGGTGTGTATTTGCAAGTAGACAAATATGCAACTTCCTTAATAGTATATTACCTCAACCTCCTGGTAGACTCCTTTTTTGCACTTAGTGAAAAAATGTGAAACAGTCTTAAGCAAACATACAGTAAGCAAAGTGTTCATAAATTTTTAAGATAACATTGTAAAATAATATAAATGTATCTAGATATGTATTGGTAACAAGTATATTTTCTCTACAGAGTGAACAACATGAGCTCCTATGACATTCCCTTCCTGAACTTGGTAGGACCTGATGGTATGTGACTGTTACCTGAGTTCATACAATAGAAACAAAGGGAAACTTGTGATAGAGTGTTTGATTATGCAAAATAGTAAATAGAATACGTAATATAAACTTTGTTAGAAAATTGAGTTAAGATTTAATGTGACATAAAAGCTGTATGAAGAATAATAAGTATTTTGTTCTGGGTGCAGGGCTTACATATGCTGAAAACCTTTAAAGTTCTGTATTTAAGCAAAAAAAAAATACATATATGGAATATGAAGTATTCTGTTTGGGAAAGTGCCATATTATATAATAAATGCCTGCTTAGCATCCAGGATAATTACCAGAGAAGAGGGTATCTACATGAAACCCATTTTTCTGCAGATGGAATAAACTTCCAGCATACTTTTCTTATATTTTAAAATGAAGTTACAATAAAGCTGACAGAGTGTTACAAAAAATGCGATTTCTAAAAAGCTTAGAGATCTCCAGTGAACACTAGAAAGGACTGCCCTTCTAGCATCCAGCCTGTTACTGGGTTTTCGTAACAAGTAGTCAGTATCCTTGTCCAATTATCCGTTAGAATTCAATAAGAATTATTAGTGCTTCAAGATTACAACTGGTAGGCTACTAACTAGAGAAATTAAAATTTAATAAATTTATTAATCACAGTCTAGAGGTATATTATCAAATTAAATTTAATCAATTCAAACAAATTAATAATAATAATAATAATAAAAATAATAATAATAGACCAGTGATGGTTGCATTCTTGGGCTGATAAGGAAAAGGGTAGAGTTGTTTTTGGCTGTAGTTTACCTTTTATTGCTCTAGTATTTTATAGTCTCAGATTTGTATTTCCTGGGACACTTATTTGAAAGTTTAAATATAAATAAATGCAGTCTGCCCTTCTTGTACGATCCTGAGAAACTTTTAGGTTATATTTTTTTAAAGAAATGCAGAAGCTTTGTTTATGTTTTTTGTACATTTGTTCATTAGTAATAAAAAATAGTACTACTTTCAGTGTTTAGGAGCACCTTTGTGGGCTTTCCAGATTCACCGGGTCCCCAGGAATGTACTGTATAACGTTTTGCTGGTTGGAAGCCATGGTGTTAGAAGCTTAGCAGGTTTTTGTTCTCCATGTGTTTTATTTTTGCTTATTTTTGGCATTTTACAGAAACAAATTAATGTGGCATACATGAAATCTTTTTGGAATATTGGCACATTGTCATTTTTCGTTTATCCATCGCTACTGTCATGGGTCTGATTGTCTGCATTTACAGTTATTGTACGGTATTATGGGGTTTTCGTATTTTGAATTTTTTATTACTGAACAATATTTATGCTCTGGATTTTCATTTTGTTTATCAGTATTGTCAGTCTACATTGTCGCTTCCCTACTTTGTCTCTTCTCTATATTGGAAAGCTTCTCTTGAATGTTACTCCATTTTTAATGTTTCATATTTATAGTGTACCCTAGTTCTAGTTCTTTTATATGACTCAGCCATGTTTGTATGTAAAATCTTTATAAATTTGTTTATTTTTTTTTATTATCACACTGGCCGATTCCCACCAAAGCAGGGTGGCCCGAAAAAGAAAAACTTTCACCATCATTCACTCCATCACTGTCTTGCCAGAAGGGTGCTTTACACTACAGTTTTTAAACTGCAACATTAACACCCCTCCTTCAGAGTGCAGGCACTGTACTTCCCATCTCCAGGACTCAAGTCCGGCCTGCCGGTTTCCCTGAACCCCTTCATAAATGTTACTTTGCTCACACTCCAACAGCACGTCAAGTAGTAAAAACCATTCGTCTCCATTCACTCCTATCAAACACGCTCACGCACGCCTGCTGGAAGTCCAAGCCCCTCGCACACAAAACCTCCTTTACCCCCTCCCTCCAACCTATTTTTTTCTTAGTTTTCTTTGCAATTTTCATTTTTTTACTTATTTCTATCTGTCACCTAGTAAGTGTTTTGATACACCATTTGTTTGATGGTGAAAAAACACATGTTACTTTATTATAAAACAACATTTTTTCTTCTTTTATTGTATTTAGTTCTTTAAAAATTTATATTTCTTTGATTTAGTTGTCTTCTGTTTTGTTAGGTTTCACCCAAATGATATGTTCTTGTGTGCTTTACTCTATGTTCTTGATATTCTTTATTTTCAGTTCCTTTTTTCCCTTGACCTAATTGAGTGTTAGTCACAGCAGTTTATTCTTCTATTATTATTGTAGCTTCCTGTAACCTGCCACAAGCTCTTTACTGTTGAGTGCATCTGTGAAATTTGTCATATTGATTTATCTTCTTTCTCCTTATCTCAGTTTTTGTTTTTCTGTGATGCAACAGAACATACAGAGGGAGGGAGTCTGTCCTGAGAAGGGGTGCACTAGTGTTCTGCAATGCAGAAGAGCATGAGAGAGGAAGAAGGTTAAAATAAAATTGCAAGAGTTTGATTTTGTAAAAATTTTTAATAAACTGCATTTCTTGTATATTCCGTATGTAACCACAGTGGACCCCCGCCTTACGATGGCATTGCATTACGTTAAATCTTATGATTACAAGCATTGATCCTGATACCAACCTCTTATTTAATGACTTAAATGATTCAAACAGTTACTGTAATTACTACACAGCAGAACAATCAAAGGCACTTCTCAGAGCTAACAACAACATAACTATCTTTACAATATCAGATCTTTAAGCAAGCATTATGATGACCTCCTAGCATTACTAAATTCCTTGCATGCCAATATGTCCATCATTACACTAACTGAAACCTGGCTAAAGCCTGATACTACAGATGTCTATGCCATTCCTGGTTACACAGCCATACACAACTGTAGGCCAGACCAACAAGGGGGTGGCACTGCTATATACTACTCAGACCAACTAGAATGTATCACTAATACTTGCACAAGGGATGAACATGGGGAATATATAATAGCTAAATTCAAATCCAAATACCTACAAAAACCTCTCACAGTGATAAACATCTACAGAGTTCCACAATCAAACATTAGCCAATTTAGTCAAAACCTAGGAAGTATGATAACTGATGCACGCATGAACAAAGATCACTTACTACTCTCAGGTGACTTCAATATAAATCTCCTGCAAGACCAGGACCCACACGTTACTGAATTCACAAACACAATGAGTAACTGCATGTTGCTACCAACAGTAACAAAACCTACAAGAGTTACAGAGACTAGTGTTTCCCTACTTGACCACATCTGGACCAACACCATATCCCCTTTAAAATCAGGCATAATTACAGATAATACCACAGACCACTACCCTACTTTCCTCATAACAACTCTTGGTAAAATACCCCAAGACACTACTAAAGTCACCTTCAGACTTCACAATGAGGCAGCCATTAATAACTTCACAACAGCAGTAACAAACATTGACTGGCACACTGAGCTAGAAATCTATACAGATATTGACGAATGTTTTAATAGTTTTCTAAAAAAGACCCAATACCTTTATAACAAGCACTGCCCTAAAAAAACTAAACAGATGACAGCTAAGAGACTGAACAGTCCCTGGCTAACACCCAGCATTCTCAAATCCATAAATACAAAACACCGATATGAAAAACAGTACAGAATGGGTCACATAACCAGAGACCAAACAAAACGTTACTCATCAATCCTAACCAGCCTGATAAGAAGGGCAAAAAAATTGTATTATGAGAACAGATTATCCAACTTACGAGGTGATATAAAAAAGACCTGGAAGACCCTATCAGAAATTCTGGGAACAAAAAAGATATCACGACATAGCGAAATAAAATTAGCAAAATCAGATGAACCCCAACTCCCACCAACAGAAACAGCAAACAGACTCAATGATTTCTTCTCCACTATAGGTCAAAACCTTGCCAATAAAATCCCAAGCTCAGATACCCCACCAAATGACTACCTCACTGGCAACTACCCGAACACACTGTTCCTAGCTCCGACTAACCCATACGAAGTCTCCCTTATTATCAACGCACTGAAAAACAAGGCAGGAGATTTAAATACCTTACCACCCTTTATATACAAAAAAGCGTCACAAGTACTATCACCAATCATTGCAACACTCTTTAACAAATCCATTGAATCCTCCACCTTCCCTACAGTTCTCAAAATAGCAAGGGTCACCCCGATCCATAAAGGAGGAGACCAAACAGAGTTGAATAACTATAGGCCAATATCCAATTTACACCCTTTCTCAAAAATCTTCGAAAAATTAATTCATAAACGAATCTACTCCTACCTCATCTCCCAAAACATTCTCAACCCCTGCCAATTTGGATTCAGGCCTAATAAAAATACTAATGATGCTATTATACACATGCTAGAACATATATACACTGCAATAGAGAAAAAAGAAGTCCCACTGGGAATCTTCATTGACTTACGTAAAGCTTTTGATACAGTTGACCATGACTTGCTCCATGTAAAATTGTCACACTATGGTATTAGAGGGCACTCCCTCAACTACCTCAAGTCTTACCTCAGAAACAGAAGCCAATATGTGTACGCAAATGGGGCAAGCTCTTCCGCACAACCAATTACAGTTGGTGTCCCACAGGGAAGTGTCCTTGGCCCACTTCTCTTTCTCCTATACATAAATGACCTACCAAATGCTTCGCAATTACTCAAACCCACACTTTTTGCAGATGACACTACATACGTCTTCTCTCACCCGAGCCCAGTCACGCTAGCCAATACTGTAAACACCGAATTACAGAAAATATCTACCTGGATGAGGACTAACAAACTTACACTAAACATTGACAAAACCTACTTCATTCAGTTTGGTAACAGAGCTACAGATGTGCCTCTTAACATAACAATAAACGGATCACCTATCACAAAGCTAACAGAGGGAAAATTCTTAGGAATCCACCTCGATAATAGACTCAAATTTCATACACATATACAACAAATTTCTAAGAAAATTTCCAAGACTGTAGGCATACTATCGAAGATACGGTACTATGTTCCACAGTCAGCCCTCCTGGCCCTTTATCACTCTCTTATTTACCCCTATCTCACCTATGGAATTTGTGCATGGGGCTCAACAACAATTAACCATCTCAGACCACTAATTACCCAACAAAAGGCTGCAGTTAGAATGATAACAAATTCTCACTACAGGCAACGCACTCCACCAATATTCAAAACACTCAATCTACTCACCATACAAAACATCCATACTTATTATTGTACCTATTACATACATAGAACACTTAACTCTGATATTAACCCTCCCCTCAAACATCTTGCCAACCTCAACAGAACACATGACCATAACACAAGGCACAGATCATTCTTTGATGTTCCTCGTGTCCATCTCACGCTGTGCAAAAACTCAATGCACATAAAAGGCCCTAAAATCTGGAATTCATTACCTGTAAATATAAAAGAAACACTACCTGTTTATAAATTCAAGTCTCTTCTCAAAGATCACTTACTCACTCAAAACCAAATAAATACTGAATAACGGAACCTTATAAATTGTATATCCTATATGTTACTCACAATTATATCACACAAATGTTAAACCTAGGACCCAATCTAACTTTATTATTTTTTTTTAAATACACTACCTAACACAATACTCCATTCGACTGAATGTACAGCAATGCAAGCAACCATATGACCTGTCTTTGTAATACTCATTTGTGCTTTATAGTTATCTGTTTACAATAATGTTTCATCACTGATTTCATCATTGCTTAGTTAATCTTAAGTTAATTTTAAGCCAGCCCGTAATGCTATGCATATAAGTGGCTTTGGCATGCTGCTCTTACCTGTATTTTTTGTACCTCTGTATGTATGCTTAAATAAATAAATAAATAAATAAATAAATAAATAAATCCGCCATATGATTCATTTTAACGCAAAAATTTTGCCTCGCCTCCCGCGATTCGTCCGGGACGCGTCCCACGCGTGGCCTTAGCTGCCCCATGCGTGCCAGTGTTTACAAGCCAGCCAGTGCGGTCGCATCCACGCATACATTCGGTACATTTAATTTTATCACAGTGTTTTTAGTGATTGTAGCTGCAAAATAAGTCACCATGGGCCCCAAGAAAGCTTCTAGTTCCAACCCTGCGGGAAAAAGGGTGAAAATTACTATGGAAATGAAGAAAGAGATAATTGCTAAGTACGAAAGTGGAGTGCGTGTCTCAGAGCTGGCCCTGGTTGTATACCAAACCCCAACAAATCGGCAATCAAGGAAGCTGTTTTTGCAAAAGGTGCAAGTTTGTTTCCGAAACAGAGATCACAAGTGATAGAAGATGTTGAAAGACTGTTATTGGTGTGGATAAACGAAAAACAGATAGCAGGAGATAGCATCGCTCAAGCGATCATGTGTGAAAAGGCTAGGAAGTTGCATGAGGATTTAATTAGAAAAATGCCTGCAACTAGTGGTGATGCGAGTAAATTTAAGGCCAGCAAAAGTTGGTTTGAGAGATTTAAGAATCGTAGTGGCATACATAGTGTGATAAGGCATGGTGAGGCTGCCAGTTTGGACCAAAAAGCGGCTGAAAAATATGTGAAGGAATTCAAGGATTACATAGACAGTAAAGAATTGCAACCTGAACAAGTGTTTAATTGCGACGAAACAGGCCTGTTTTGGAAGAAAATGCCAAGCAGGACCTACATTACTCAGGAGGAAAAGGCACTCCCAGGACATAAGCCTATGAAAGACAGGCTTACTCTTCTGATGTGTGCTAATGCTAGTGGTGATTGCAAAGTGAAGCCTTTATTGGTGTATCACTCTGAAACTCCCAGAGCGTTCAGGCAAAACAATGTCGCCGAGGCTAATTTGATGTGGAGGGCGAACAGTAAGGCATGGGTCACTAGGAACCTTTTCTATGACTGGTTACACCATGCATTTGCCCCCACTGTGAAAAATTACCTAATGGAAAAGAAATTGGACCTGAAGTGCCTCCTGGTATTAGACAATGCTCCTGGTCATCCTTCAGACTTGGCAGAGCGACTTTCTAGGGACATGAGCTTCGTTAAGGTCAAGTTTTTGCCTCCTAATACCACTCCTCTCCTGCAGCCCATGGACCAGCAGGTCATTTCAAACTTTAAAAAACTCTACACAAAAGCTATGTTTCAAAAGTGCTTTGAAGTGACCTCAGACACTCGATTGACTCTAAGAGAGTTTTGGAAAGATCACTTTAGGTAAGGCTTGGGAGGGAGTGACTAAGAGGACCTTGAACTGGACAGATTTGTTGTGCGACAGAGGTTCAGTGACTCTCAAGCTGGTCCTAGTGGCATTAAAAGAAGAAGGGAAGTAACCCCAGAAAAGGACTTGATACCTCAAGTCCTAATGGAAGGGGATTCCCCTTCTAAACAATAACAACTTCCCCTCCTCCCATCCCATCAATCATCACCAGATCTTCAATAAAGGTAAGTGTCATGTATTGTATTCTTAGTAGAGTAGTAATTGTGCATGTCTTCTTCAGTTTGTGTGTATTAAAATTAATATTTCTTGTTGTAAAAAAAACTTTTTCTCATACACTTTGGGGTGTCAGGAACGGATTAATTTGATTTCCATTATTTCTTATGGGGAAAATTAATTCACTTATGATAATTTCGGCTTACGATGAACTCTCAGGAACGGATTAATATCGTAAGGTGGGGGTCCACTGTATTTGGTGCACTTGTGTTTTTTTTTTTATAAATTGCCTTAGAAATGTCTATTTTCTTTTGGCATGAGCCACTATGAGAGGTTATTATGTGGGCTTCAGTAATCATTATGCAAGCATTTTTACCTCGGAATAAACTTACTTACTTATTCTTTGATAATGAGAATTATGTTTGAATGTGTGTTATATATGCAAATATAAATAGACATTATATGTAACCATAGTGATACTGTGGTAACTTTGTTTTGTTTTTACAGTTCAACCAGACAGGAGCCAAATATTTTGTGTGGAGTGTCCATCTACATGGAGTGCCATGCATGTCCATGGACTCTTTCATATGATTAGTGAGTACAAAATGCAGTAAAACCTAGGCTTAATGTACCCTAATTTAACGGACACAGTCCAATCAACAGACAGAAATCCATAAAAACCGGACAGAGTCTGTTGTTTATCGAGTGTCAGTTATTGTTACAAGCCACTGGGTAAATTGATCTCAGTAACAGTAAACAAAGATAGTAAGCAAAATAAAAAGTTTGTTGTTTAGTGAATTAAAATTTTTTATCCCCTCTGTTCTCAGTTTTGTGTTTTGGAAACAATGGATTAAGGCCATTGCTTACAGAATTGTCTGTTATATTTAGGATCATGGCAAAACAATTAATTTTTCATATTAGATATACAGTCGGCATTATTTCCCCATTAGTTTGCTAAAGTGAGGTGTCAGCTTGAAACAGTGAATAGCACGGCTGTACATTATGGTTCATGATCTTAAAGCATATTTTACTTCTCATTTTTTCCCTATTTTTGCCTGTCTTTTCCTCCTCAGTCTTTTTTCTTCCCTGCCATTTACCTTCCTCGCCTTCTCTTTTCACCCTGCTCTTTTTCACAACCCTTCCAACTCTACTTTTGTCTTCTTTCTTTGTTTTTATTTAATACAATTTTCTCACTTGTCCTCCTGATCTCTTTTTATCTTCATTGTTGTCCTCATCCACAACCATTCCTTCCTTTTCTCTTTTAATTTTTCTCCCCTTTATGTTCTGAAATGGAGAAATAACAGGCAATTCTTAGATGGGAAGTAAATTTTCTACATTTTGTTGTTTTGTATTATAATCACCCAGTAATTCAAATATGAATTTCCTTGTACAGATTACTTTAAAGTATTCATCTCGAGCATTGAGCACTTCGTAGCTCATACCTTGTGTGTATTTTCTTGTAACTTTATTTTTTACTGCAGAACCACTGAAGATAGTGTGGGTGAATAGCACTTTTCTATATGTTATTCCTCTGGAGGAGATGGACAAGAAGTCTTGCCGCCTACATTTGAAGGTAAAATTTTTCACAAGTTTTCAAAATATTTATTTTTGCATCTGTTAAGGTCTTTGGCCTAATGTTCATAATAGTGCATAAAACAGTTCTTCAACTGAAATATGGTATGGAACCTATCCAGCAAGGATAAAGAGGAAGCCTTGTCTGGGGTTGAGCTGCCTTGGGGGGGGGGGAAATGACCCCAGAGCTATTAACAGTTTAACAAGTAGTTTGTTAGGGCAAGTGAGTGAAACATAACAAATTGACTTGATTTTTGTTTATATGGGTGTGAGGCATGGGTTTTAAACATTGCAGCAAGGAGGCAGGTAGTTACAGTTAAAATGTTATGCATGAGAGCAATATGTGCTGTGAATATTATGCAAAGAATTCTGAGCGTAAAATTAGATATGGGGTTACTCAGATAGCAGAGGAAAAGTATGTAAGTGAGTTATATAATTTTATTTTAAATAACAATAAAAGCTTCATTCTCTTGCATTCATCAACCTTCCCTTTTGTAATCTAACATTATTACCTAAGTCCATCAAGATTTAATATTATGTGTGGGTTCATTAGGACAGAGCTCATGCAACCTGGAACCAATAACTGAACCAACTTTCAATGGCATCTTCACCATAAAGAGATTACTGGGCAAATTTTTAGCATTGTTGGTAGCTTGCCCATGGATTTACCTTTTTAATGAGCCCAAACAAGTGCCTTGCAATATTTATCTCTTTTCTAAAGGTTCATATTTATTTTTTATTATGGTGTCAAAATATTCTTTACATCTCTCAAATTCTTTCCTTCTGGTTTTTTCCCTGTTTGGATTTTGACACACACAAAAGACTAAAGTCATTATTGTAGCTGTCTTAGATTATAATATAATGCATTATCATGTATACTTTATTTCAATAATTTCACTGAAGTGTTTAATCTTCTTTACAGAATATTCTTGCCAGCTGTCCACCACTAGTACATGTAAAGTTGTATGGGGATGCATTAAACTCAAAGAGGAAATCTGTATCAGATGAAGTTGTTTCTGGAGTGGAAACAAGAGCGAGTCGCATACACGAATTCAAACGCCTTAAGAGTGTTGGGTAAGCATCTCTAAAATTCTGTCTTTCAAGTTATTGTATGAGTCACTAACAATTATAAGGGCCAAGTTAATGTCTGAACTCTGGTTAGCATTTTATGTTTTAACCACATGTGTCATTTACCACCAGTGTTCATGACTTAAACTAATAAAACAGTTTTGAAAGATTTGAACACTGCATATGAAAACTAAAATTTTAGTATCAGATCTACCATTAATAAATCTTTTTTAAGGATAACTTATGTAAGCTACAGGTTTTGACAAAAAAATTATTCCATTGTGATGGTCTTAATCACTATACATCTGTTTGTGTATTCACAAATTCATTAGTTCACTTTCATTGTTTTCATGTCAAGTTGGTACCTTTAGATGAAAGTTGGGTTGAAACTCCTTAAAGATATACATCTCAACTGAACAAATATTTTGTATACGTAAGTAACTGTTGGTAGTAGGTTGGTAGACAGCAACCACCCAGAGAGGTACTACCGTTCTGCCAAGTGAGTGTGAAACGAGAGCCTGTAATTGTTTTACATGATGGTAGGATTGCTGGTGTCTTTTGTCTGTCTCATAAATATGCAAGATTACAGGTACATCTTGCTACTTTTACTTACACTTAGGTCACACTACACATACATGTCTTTCTTTCAACACACCGACCGTATCCCACCGAGGCGGGGTGGCCCAAAAGGAAAAACGAAAGTTTCTCCTTTTACATTTAGTAATATATACAGGAGAAAGGGTTATTAGCCCCTTGCTCCTGGCATTTCAGTTGCCTCTTACAACACGCATGGCTTACGGAGGAAGAATTCTGTTCCACTTCCCCATGGAGGTAAGAGGAAATAAACAAGAACAAGAACTATAAAGACGTTCCTGAAACCTTGTATGTTTATGAGACAGAAAAATGGACACCAGCAATCCTACCATCATGTAAAACAATTACAGGCTTACATTTTACACTCACTTGGCAGGACGGTAGTACCTCCCTGGGTGGTTGCTGTCTACCAACCTACTACCTAGTACACATAAATGTACAAGCATATATATACACACCCCACTGGGGTTTCTTCTATTTTCTTTCTAGTTTTTGTACTTGTTTATTTCCTCTTACCTCCATGGGAAAGTGGAACAGAATTCTTCCTCCGTAAGCCATGCATGTTGTAAGAGGTGACTAAAATGCTGGGAGCAAGGGGCTAGTAACCCCTTCTCCTGTATAAATTACTAAATTTAAAAAGAGAAACTTTCGTTTTTCTTTTTGGGCCACCCTGCCTCGGTGGGATACCTGGAGTTTACCTGGAGAGAGTTCCGGGGGTCAACGCCCCCGCGGCCCGGTCTGTGACCAGGCCTCCTGGTGGACCAGAGCCTGATCAACCAGGCTGTTACTGCTGGCTGCACGCAAACCAACGTACGAGCCACAGCCCGGCTGATCAGGAACCGACTTTAGGTGCTTGTCCAGTGCCAGCTTGAAGACTGCCAGGGGTCTGTTGGTAATCCCCCTTATGTGTGCTGGGAGGCAGTTGAACAGTCTCGGGCCCCTGACACTTATTGTATGGTCTCTTAACGTGCTAGTGACACCCCTGCTTTTCATTGGGGGGATGTTGCATCGTCTGCCAAGTCTTTTGCTTTCGTAGTGAGTGATTTTCGTGTGCAAGTTCGGTACTAGTCCCTCTAGGATTTTCCAGGTGTATATAATCATGTATCTCTCCTGCCTGCGTTCCAGGGAATACAGGTTTAGGAACGGGTGGTTTGTTGAAAAAAAAAAAAAAGTAGCAGTTGTGTCTGACTTATTTATATCTTTTCTTTATCTGTTTTGCTGTCCTGTCTGAAAAATTATTTTCATGAAAGGTATATTATATGTTGTTTGCAGTTTTCTTGAAAATTTGGGTTGTTAGAATGCATAATGCCAAAACATATATACAGTTTTACTAAAAAATATGAATTGATTAAAGTCTGCCTCTGCCGTAACAGGTCAGACCAACTATCAAAGATGAGCTTAGAGTCTCCGAGTGCAGAAGAAGCGCCTTCCATAATTGGTGGAAGTAATGGTAATGTTTAAGATTTTTTTGTTCCCACAAAAAAGGTATAATGAAAAATAATACTGTTTGTTAATTTATTTGTAGTTCATTAATACATAATAAATCTGTTTTTATAATACATAGTTAAAATAATTATATAGAATTTAAAAATGAAGCCATAAGAGACACTTAGCAAGGCATGCCATTGTGTGTGTAATATTTATTGACATTTTATTGATGCTTTATTGACACGATTGATACAAGTGACACTTTCCTTGTGTGACCTTTATAAGAGTCATATAGAGAAACAGCCAACTAGGACTTATCTAGTATACTTCAGAGCAGGCAGAGAAAGAGAGAGTGAGTGATGGAAGGGGTACGGTGAAAGATTGTCTCATCAGGGTAGAGTGACTCAAAACTGGCCACATTCACCATCATTCACTGAATAGCTATCTTGTCAGAACTGTGCAGACATCACAAGTCAAATGATTTTCTGAACTGCAACAACCCTACCCCTTCTTCAGTATAGGCTCTGTACTTCCCACCTCCAGGAATCATGTCTGGCTAACAGGTTTCCCTGAATCACTTTGTGAATGTTAATTTGTTCACTCTCCAGCATGGCAAGCTACAAAACCCCTATGTGTTCATTCATTTCAATCTAATGCTCACATAAGCATCTGGGATGCTCATTCCTTCCACTCGTCTCCTGTATACATTACTAAATTTAATAAAGGAAACTTTCGTTTTTCTTTTTGGGTTACCCTGCTTTGGTGGGATATGGCCAGTTTGTTGAAAAAGAAAATTACCTGGAGTTTACCTGGAGAGAGTTCCGGGGGTCAACGCCCCCGTGGCCCAGTGGCTGTATTATTGAAATAATAATAATAATAATAATAATACTCTAATAGTAATAATAATAATAGGTCTGAGGAAAGAGTTTGAAACCCATGTCTTCAATTACTTTATGTAAACATAGATTTTATCTCTGCCTATCTCCTGCAAAGCTAGAGAAGTCAGCTCATTATATGTGCAGTTTTTTAGTGACCCCCAGATTTTTTTTTTTTTTTTTTTCAACAAGTCGGCCGTCTCCCACCGAGGCAGGGTGACCCAAAAAAGAAAGAAAATCCCCAAAAAGAAAATACTTCCATCATCATTCAACACTTTCACCACACTCACACATTATCACTGTTTTTGCAGAGGTGCTCAGAATACAACAGTTTAGAAGCATATACGTATAAAGATACACAACATATCCCTCCAAACTGCCAATATCCCAAACCCCTCCTTTAAAGTGCAGGCATTGTACTTCCCATTTCCAGGACTCAAGTCCGACTATATGAAAATAACCGGTTTCCCTGAATCCCTTCACTAAATATTACCCTGCTCACACTCCAACAGATCGTCAGGTCCCAAGTATCATTCGTCTCCATTCACTCCTATCTAACACGCTCATGCACGCTTGGTGGAAGTCCAAGCCCCTCGCCCACAAAACCTCCTTTACCCCCTCTTTCCAACCCTTTCGAGGACGACCCCTACCCCTCCTTCCTTCCCCTATAGATTTATATGCTTTCCATGTCATTCTACTTTGATCCATTCTCTCTAAATGACCAAACCACCTCAACAACCCTCTTTGCCCTCTGACTAATGCTTTTATTAACTCCACACCTTCTCCTAATTTCCACACTCCGAATTTTCTGCATAATATTTACACCACAACATTGCCCTTAGACAGGACATCTCCACTGCCTCCAACCGTCTCCTCGCTGCTGCATTTACCACCCAAGCTTCACATCCATATAAGAGTGTTGGTACTACTATACTTTCATACATTCCCTTTTTTGCCTCCATAGATAACGTTTTTTGACTCCACATATACCTCAACGCACCACTCACACTTTTTTCCCTCATCAATTCTATGATTAACCTCATCCTTCATAAATCCATCCGCCGACACGTCAACTCCCAAGTATCTGAAAACATTCACTTCTTCCATACTCCTCCCAATTTGATATCCAATTTTTCTTTATCTAAATCATTTGATACCCTCATCACCTTACTCTTTTCTATGTTCACTTTCAACTTTCTACCTTTACACACATTCTCAAACTCATCCACTAACCTTTGCAATTTTTCTTTAGAATCTCCCATAAGCACAGTATCATCAGCAAAAAGTAACTGTGTCAATTCCCATTTTGAATTTGATTCCCCATAATTTAACCCCACCCCTCTCCCGAACACCCTAGGCATTTACTTCTTTTACAACCCCATCTATAAATATATTAAACAACCATGGCGACATTACACATCCCTGTCTAAGACCTACTTTTACCGGGAAGTATTTTCCCTCTCTTCTACACACCCTAACCTGAGCCTCACTATCCTCATAAAAACTCTTTACAGCATTTAGTAACTTACCACCTATTCCATATACTTGCAACATCTGCCACATTGCTCCTCTATCCACTCTATCATATGCCTTTTCTAAATCCATAAATGCAATAAAAACTTCCCTACCTTTATCTAAATACTGTTCACATATATGCTTCAATGTAAACACTTGATCTACACATCCCCTACCCACTCTGAAGCCTCCCTGCTCATCCGCAATCCTACATTCTGTCTTACCTCTAATTCTTTCAATTATAACCCTACCGTATACTTTTCCTGGTATACTCAGTAAACTTCTTTCTTTCTTTCAACACACCGGCCGTATCCCACCGAGGCGGGGTGGCCCAAAAGGAAAAACGAAAGTTTCTCCTTTTACATTTAGTAATATATACAGGAGAAGAGGTTACTAGCTCCTTGCTCCCGGCATTTTAGTCGCCTCTTACAACACGCATGGCTTACGGAGGAAGAATTCTGTTCCACTTTCCCATGGAGGTAAGAAGAAATAAACAAGAACAAGAACTAGGAAGAAAATAGAAGAAAACCCAAAGGGGTGTGTATATATATGCTTGTACATGTATGTGTAGTGTGACCTAAGTGTAAGTAGAAGTAGCAAGACATACCTGAAATCTTGCATGTGTATGAGACAGATAAAAAAAGACACCAGCAATCTTACCATCATGTAAAACAATTACAGGCTTCAGTTTTACACTCACTTGGCAGGACGGTAGTACCTCCCTGGGTGGTTGCTGTCTACCAACCTACTACCTAGAACTCAGTAAACTTATTCCTCTATAATTTTTAGTCTCTTTTGTCCCCTTTCCCTTTATATAAAGGGACTATACATGCTCTCCGCCAATCCCTAGGTACCTTCCCCTCTTTCATACATTTATTAAACAAAAGTACCAACCACTCCAACACTATATCCCCCCCCCTTCTTTTAACATTTCTGTCATGATCCCATCAGTTCCAGCTGCTTTATCCCCTTTCATTCTACGTAATGCCTCACGTACCTCCACCACACTTACATTCTGCTTTTCTTCACTCCTAAAAGATGGTATACCTCCCTGGCCAGTGCATGAAATTACCGCCTCCCTTTCTTCCTCAACATTTAAAAGTTCCTCAAAATATTCTCGCCATCTACCTAATACCTCCCTTTCCCCATCTACTAATTCCCCTACTCTGTTTTTAACTGACAAATCCATACTTTCCCTAGGCTTTCTTAGCTTGTTTAACTCACTCCAAAATTTTTTCTTATTTTCATTAAAATTTCTTGACAGTGCCTCTCCCACTCTATCATCTGCTCTCCTTTTGCACTCTCTCACCACTCTCTTCACCTTTCTTTTACTCTCCATATACTCTGCTCTTCTTATAACACTTCTGCTTTGTAAAAACCTCTCATAAGCTACCTTTTTCTCTTTTATCACACCCTTTACTTCATCATTCCACCAGTCACTCCTCTTTCCTCCTGCCCCCACCCTCCTATAACCTATGACCCCCAGATATTCTATAAAAACTTTAGTTCATTTAACTGTTTTGAAGAAATTAGTATAAATTAGTGCTAATCCTAGTTTTGGTGTCTAAAATAATTTTAATAACAATGATTTTCTGAAAATATTTACAATATTCTGCTTACCCAGTCTTGCAACAATTTTCCATTTTTAGAAAATTTAATTATTATCATTAGTTTATTAAATTTAATTTGAAAAAAATAAGCTACACCATTCTTCAGGACTTGTTTCCTATTTACATTAACCTTTTTTTTTTTTAACATGTCAGCTATTTCCCACTGAGGCAGGGTGACATTTTTCTTATATAACTTTAATTTTTTTTTTCCAGGCAAGAGAGCACCATCAAAACAAGATGTCAAAGGTGAGGATGTATTTTCCATACCAGATGAGTGGTAGCCACTCAAGATTGTTTTTAATTATGTTAACTGTAAAATGTTGTTTCAGTTTTTATGATTACAATACATATGTTATATGTATATACATTTTTAATAAATTGTCCACTTTAGATATCAAGGGATCTGTAGGTTTTTGGGAGTCTCAAACTCGGAACCATGAAAATAACAGTTCACAGACCCCAGTTTGAATCTGAAATCCTATGAATTGTTATAAGTGTATATTACATTTTCATAGTTATATCAAGGGATAGTTGGAAGAAGGATCATATTCCTTTCTTGTTACTTTGCTCATACTTTGTGTGTATTTAACTAATTGGGGTTGCAGAAGTCGAGTCTCAGCTCCTGGCCCTATCTCTTGACTTAAAACTAGCTGGATTTACATAAATACTTATCCTTGGAGGTGTGTGTGGAATTTGCCTCCACTACTTCATCCAGGTCATTCCACTTTCATACCTAGGTAGTGTCACCTGAAAAAGAAGAAACACTTTCACCATATCACCATCACCATCTTGCTAGAGGCATGCTGATGTAACATTACTGGTCAGATGCCCCTCTAAACTGCAATATTTCCACCCCTCTTTCAGAGTGCAGGCACTGCACTTTCCACTTCCAGGACTTGACTCCTGCTAACCAATTTTCCCAAATCCCTTCATGAATGTTACCTTGCTCACACTCGAACAGCACATTAAGTCTTCATAACATTCACATGACACAATACCCTCAGACATTGCCACTTCCTCCAGCCTCCTCTGCAACATTTAAAACCCATGCTTCACACCCATATAAAAGTGTTGGTACCACTATACTCTGGTACATTCCCCTTTTTGCCTTTATGTATAAGGCTCGTCTCCACAGATGTTTCAGTATACCACCCCCCTTTTTTTTCCCCTCCTCAATTCTGTGGTTCACCTCATCTTTCATAGACCTGCCCGCTATTTAGATTTTAAACGAGCAAGAGCAGGTGCCCAATGTATCATACAATCAGCCAAGGGTGCATGTTGATGTGCTTATAACTAAAAATCACCACCACTGTTAAAGCATGGTATCCAAGTGAAACGTCATCTACTAATAAAGGTTTTCATACTGCTTGTGAGTCTTTCGTTATGTATATTTTTTGTGTGAATATTTTTACCAAAGTCATCTTCCACCAAGGTAGGGAGTCCCAAACAACAAGGTGTTTGTCATCATTCGTTCAATTGCTGCTTTACCAGAGGTGTGTTGACACCACAGTTCAAATGATCCTCCGAATTGTACCATCCCCACCCTTTGTTTCCACCCCATTCTAAACTGCTCACACATGCCTGCTGGATGCTCAAGCCCCTAGCACCCAAAGCCACCTGTACCTCCTCTCAACCACTTCTAGGATGACCCCCTACTTCTTTCCCACCCCTGATTTATATACCCGTTTCATCATCATAGTACAATGCCTGCACTTTAAAGGAGGTTTTTAGGATATTGGAAGTTTGTAGTGACATCTAAATTGCCATATCTGGGCGCCTCTTCAAATGACAGTGATATTTTGCAAATGGTGGCAAAAGTGTTGATTGATGGTGAAAGTGTCTCTTTTTCTGAGTCGCCCTGCCTCGGTGGGAGACGACTGATGTGTTGAAAAAAAAAAATTCTGAATGCCCAAACCACCTCAATGACCCCTTCTCAGTCATCTGAATTATTCATTTGGTGACCCCACACCATGCTCAGATTTCTTTCTTTCAACACACCGGCCGTATCCCACTGAGGCAGGGTGGCCCAAAAGGAAAAACGAAAGTTTCTCCTTTTACATTTAGTAATGTGTACAGGAGAAGGGGTTACTAGCCCCCACTCCCAGTATTTCAGTTGCCTCTTACAACACGCATGGCTTACGGAGGAAGAATTCTGTTCCACTTTCCCATGGAGGTAAGAGGAAATAAACAAGAACAAGAATTAGAAAGAAAATAGAAGAAAACCCAGAGGGGTGTATGTATATATATGCTTGCATATGTATGTGTAGTGTGACCTAAGTGCAAGTAGAAGCAGCAAGACATACCCTGAAATCTTGCATGTTCATGAGACACAAAAGACACCAGCAATCCTACCATCATGTAAAACAATTACAGATTCTCATTGTACACTCACTTGGCAGGACGGTAGCACCTCCCTGGGCGGTTGCTGTTTACCAGCCTACTACCTAGGATGTTCAGATTTCTCCTTTCCAAATTCTCTGCATAATATTCATGCTGCACATGTAATTACACAAGAGGGGATATGATTATGGCATACAAAATACTTCAGGGCATTAGCAGGGTAGACAAGGATGGGCTTTTTCACAGAGGGAGAAAAAAGAACAATAGCGCATGGGCTTTATCAAGACTAAGAAATATTGGAAAACTTTTCTTCATTATGAGAGTGATAAAGAATCATATTCAATTGAATGATGACATAGTGGAAGCAGACTCCGTTCAGGATTTACAAAATAAGTAATGTATATTACAAAGCTATTTCACACTAGTGCATTGAAAGCCAAGAGGTGGGACCAGGCACCAGAGTACACCCCTGCAAATTCAGCTAGGTAATTACACTATGACTGGGGCCTTTACACACACTAATGTACAGTATGCATTTTTGTTGCACTAGGGAAAAAAAATGTAAGATATGAGTGCCTCAAGGGTGGTTCCTGGATGATGGTGAGGGGCTTTTGAGCCAAGGAACTAGAATTAGCCTCCCCTTCCTTGACACAGACTTGAATGTTTTCCATTCCATAGGCATTATATGACCCCTACAAGTTTAGCACTTTCCCCATTCTGTGACATAAAAAGTTGGCTTTCTTATTTTATTTAAAGTTAGTAATAAATACTTGACCTGAAAAAGTTTTAAAATATTGAGTGTGTGTAAGAGTAATGTACAGGTGCTCCTTGACTTACAATGATTCGACTAATGATATTTTAAATTTACGATGGTGCAAAAGCAACTGGTTACGGTAATTATTTGTTTATTTACTTATTCAGTGACAGTAATACTTTATTTATTTAGCATATCATATTCATATCAGACTTAAGATATTTTTGACTGACAATGGATTCATCAGAACGTAACCCCCATCATAAGTCGAGGAGCAGCTGTAATGACAGATAACACCAGTAATTTCTGAGAAGCATATGCAGATGTATAAATGTAATTACCTACTTTTTTACCTGTTTGTAATTACTGTCAATAAAGCTTATGTTAACATTGTAAAAATTTCTACAAATATTGAATAAGATATAAAATTTGAGTTCCAGTACTTTCACTCCATACCAGTGAAGAAACCTTCTGCACTGCTTTTTAAACAGTATACAAGTAATTCCTTGTTCTCCCTTGTAGTAGCACCAAGATATCCTCCTTGTTTTTCTCACATCCTTTTATAAATTTATATGTAGCTATAACTTATGGGTATCTCATGGAGAGGTGTCCTGTTCCACTTTGTGAGAATTGTCTAGTTTATGTTTCAATTTCCTATATGCTATTGGACTGTCCTGTCTATCAACGAGCACACAGAATTTTCCTCCGACGTCGTCACCGCGCTGACGCCCTTACTCTATTTTCCTTCCTTGCTGACAGATCCACCTTTGACACAGACTCCCCATTCGACTTTTTGACAGCAACTGATTTATTACACAAACTTTGATAATCTTTCCTTTAGCACTCCTCACAGCATCTCCTAACTTTACCTTTATTGTCATATCCACCCTTATTTATCCTTAGATCCTGCATCAATTTCTACCCTGCAGTGCTGTATGACCCTGATAGGTTTAGCACTTCCTTTTGATTATAATAATAATTAGAAATTTTTTTCTAAAAATTGTAGTACCTACCACACTGTAATTGGTGTTAATTTATTTTAAATGAATGATAACTGTGTGCCAAGAATGTTTCGAGGCTGCAAATTATAGGGATTTATATATTTTATATTGATTGAAATTGATTCAGTATATACAAAATTTGTAAAATTTAATAAGAGCATATCCTATATTTGGTCACAATCTGTACTAGTACCTAGACATACAGCATTTATACTAGTTCTTTTTTATGTCTTTTGAGTCAGTGTCGAAATAGTTATTATATTAAGTGTTTGTACTGTAAGATGAAAAGTGAAGTGTAACCTTAATATTGAATGATGAATTTTTGTGTAAGTTCAGAAATGAATGTCATTAGTGCTGATACTAAGTACAAAATAAAAGTATTGTTTTAATACTTCTTTGGTAATTGTTTAATTGTGTATTAAGCTTATTGGACTAGTATAGGGGCATATCTGACTTTGTTGCTAATTATGAATGATTTACAGTAATGTGTTATAAGGTATCCTTGCTTACTAATTTTTTTTTTTTTTGGAGTGGCACTTCTGCAAATGTCTTGGTTTTCATTATATGTGTTACCACAGTAGTTTTCAAATACCATATCTATATAATCTTTTGCATATTTAGACATGAAACACACTGTAAAGGTGAACAATGAATATGCCTACAAGAAGCTGTTTACTGTATGTCTAGTGTAATAAACAAAATATGGTTGGATTTAATATAATGGAATTAAGTTGTATGAACCTGGCCAAACTTGGAGAATGCAGTGTCTGCATGGAGTCTGCATCTGTTTAAATATGTGAGACAGCCTTAAAAAATCTTAGAGGTTCTCAGTGAGAAAGAAATGCTTTTGATTTATACATTACTGAGGTTGGGAATATAATCTAAGGTATATAATACCTACAAGTTTAATCAATTGAAGACATACACAACACCTGGATAGCTTTAGTGAAGAGATATTTTACCCACTAGGGTCTGTAATTCATACAGACATGAGAATGGAACATTTTAGTGGGGCTAATGGAAGTAGTGACTCAGCAGGTGTAGTTACTTGTGGGTAGGGCTGACTGGTGGAAATAGGTCAGGTCCAGAAGGTGGGCCAGAGATTAGAATATAAATCATAAGAGACATCCTCTAGTTTCCTTCAAGGAAAGCTAGCAGTCAGTCTTGTAGGCAGTTTTGTTGGGAATAACAGTGGATTACAGGAATAACTGACCATCAGGAAGTCAGATTTTGCAAAAGAATTTGCTCAAGTTTCTTTGTCAGTGTATTGTATGAAACTAATTTTAGAAAATAAGTAGTGAATATTATATTTGACCATAGGTCTCAAGGGTCCATGGAGCTGTTGTTGAATTTCTGCAAACAGCTAGAGGTTGGTGAAGGACTTGATCTAAGGGCATTTCAAATTGCTCTTGATCCAAGGAATGATGAAACCTGTTTGCTGACCAGCTAAACCTTACAGGTTGAGCAGCTCCCCCATGAAATTAATTTGTTTGGAAAGGGCAAATCTGAAAGTTAATTACCCCATGCTGCAATTATCTTTTACAATAATTTTATGTATTATTCTTTATGCAGTATGTGCCTCTTAAAGTATACCTTTGAAGGGGTTTGAGAGTTTTCCTACTCTTGGGCCAGGCTTATCTGTTTATCAGGTTGTTATTGCTGGTGGCCCACTGGCCAACATATCCTTTATAGCCCATCACTCATATGTTCTTGTGTGACAGATTCACTAGCAGTTTTTATAAAAAAATTAGTTTTATCAGTTGACATATCCTGTTAATTTCAAGAGAAATGTTTATGTAAAATATTAAAGTTTAAGAATTTAATTATTTACAATCTTTTTAAATTTATTCATATTGTAATAGGTATAATGCAATTTTTTTTAGATGAAAAAAAGTTGAAAATAATTAATGCATGTTAAACTCCTTATCAAGATTTTGCTTGTATTTATATATAAAGTGGCACCATGGGACTCCATGCTCATGTGGCTGCTTTTATGACTGTAGGTTATGTTGTTAACAAAGTGAAAAGAAAAAGATAGCTTGCCATTGTAATGATTTTATAAATGTGGCCCTTTCAGGGGAAAGGGGGAGTGCCTCGATACTGGTGCAAAGTTATTGATGCAAGGAATCTGAGCTATCCTCCCTAATGTTAAACCTGATTACCCTGCCCCCCCTCTCACCCTTACCATTTCCTGGGTGCTTGTATTGTTCTAATATTATGGCTTTACAATTATTTTTAGGCAGTATTCACAAAAAAGCACTAAACCTATATGGGTCATTCACTGCTGTATAAATTATTATTATTATAATCAAGGGGGAAGCACTAAACCCATAGGATTATACAGCACCTGTGGGGGGGATGGAAGGTATTCAAGGTTAATTCAGGGAACTGGAGCACAGATCCAGTTCCCTAGATCAAGAGCCCCTCAACAGCATCAAGGAACCTTCCTTGAGGGGATTATTATTATAATCAAAGGGGAAGCACTAAACCCGTAGGATTATACAGCACCTGTGGGGGGATGTGGAAGGCATTCAGGTTTAATTTAGGGAACTGGAGCACAGATCCAATTCCCTAGATCAAGAGCCCCTCACCAGCATCAAGGAACCTTCCTTGAGGGGAGCACTGTATAAAGCATTCAAATTATTTGACTTAACTTTGCATTAGTCTTATAAATCTAATGACATTCATAAAAAAGACTGGAGTACTGAATTATATTCACAGTACGTATTATATTTGTGAGAAGTGCTAAACCCATAAGGCTCATGTTACATGGGGAATGGGAGGTCAATGAGTTTCATCCATGGAAGGAGAGCATAACTCCCATTCTTTGGATGAAGCATGAAGGGATTATTATTATTATAATCAAAAAGAAGCACTAAGCCACAAGGGCTATACAACATGAAGGGATTAATAATCAGGGCTGTGGAGTTGGTAAAATGTAACTAAAGGAGTAGGAATCGGAGTTGAAGGTTTTGTGCTGAATCCACAGTCCTGATAATAATAATAATAATATTCTACACAAAGATGTGGAAAACCAGAGTTGGTCATATATTGGAGCAGTAAAGCATTTTATCTCCCCTTCCCCAAGATGCAGCAATTCATAGGTGATGGCAGAGTAATGGTTGTTTATATCTTAACCCACATGCAGTAACAGACAGGTATTCATATAAAACCCTAAACCCATGTGAACTGGTAGAAAAGGTTTACTACTTGCTAGAGACTGGAGATGTACCTAACATCAGTATTATATTCAAGGACATGTTAAACCCATAGGGTTCATACATTGCCTCACTGGCTGTACAAAGATAAAGAACTGCATAAAAATAATTGTCTGAGGATGTGTTATGAAAGATTTATTTAAAATACATTTACAGATGTGCATAACAGAGTAAACTTAAAAATTATAACAATTATATATATAATTACTATTTTTATATATACGTATATACAACTTTATATTAACAAAAGATAAACAAAGTCCCAAAATCTATTATGAATATTATATGTAGAGTAGGATAAAATATGAGAGCTGTAACAATGAGATGGTATGCACTGTATTTCAGTATTTAGCAGGTTGTGAAAGGTTGGTAATTTGTGTATTATTCTTAGTATGTTTATGAGTTTTGGTACTTAGGATGATACTGTATAAATTTTTTTTAACACACTGGCCATTTATTCTTATTTTTAGTAATTTATACAGGAGAAAGGGTTACTAGCCCATTTCTCCTAGCACTTTAGTTGCTGTTTACGACATGCGCTGCCTACAGAGGTTAGATTCTTTTCCATTTCTTCATAGAGATGAAAGGAAAATATATAAGAACTATTAAGGAAAATAGAAGAAAACTCAGATGGGGGTATATTCATTTACGTGTGCATGCATTTGTAGTGTAACCTAAAAGTAAGTAGAAGTAGCAAGATGTATTGTGTTATCTTGCATGTTTATGAGACAGTGAAGATACCAGCAATCCTACCATCGTGTAAAACAATTATTAGTACTGTGTTAACATTCTTAGCAGTCCATATGTGCTGAAAGACTCTTATGAGTTTAGTGCTTATATTATATTAGTAGTAGTAGTCTGTATGTATAAATGACATCAAGATTCAGTATAATACAGTATTTATATTTATATAATTTATCTTCTTTCTTCAAACTGGCCATATCCCACTGAAGCAGGGTGACCCAAAATTAAAAAACAATAGTTTCTCTTTTTAACTTTAGTAATGCAAAACAACCACTGAAAGAATGGTGAAATTCCAAGTCCTTTTGTGACTTTTCACATTATCAGGGAAGTATAGTTCCTTGATAATGTGAGAAGTCATGAAAGCACTTGGAATTTTGCTATTCTTTCACAGGTTGTTTTGCATATTCTGATATCACCTGTTTACTGTGATCTTATTGCAACTTTAGTAATGTATACAGGAGAAGAGGTTACTAGCCCCTTGCTCCTGGCATTTTAATCACCTCTTATGACACGCATGACTTATGGAGGAAGAATTCTGTTCCACTTCCCCATGGAGATAAGAGGAAATAAACAAGAACAACAAGAAAATAGAAGAAAATTCAGAGGGGTGTGTATATATATATCTTTCTTCTTTCAACAAAACGGCTGTATCCCACCGAGGCAGGGTGGCCCAAAAAAGAAAAACGAAAGTTTCTCTTTTTAAATTTAGTAATTTATACAGGAGAAGGGGTTACTAGCCCCTTGCTCCTGACATTTTAGGCGCCTCTTACAACACGCATGGCTTACAGAGGAAGAATTCTGTTCCACTTCCCCATGGAGATAAGAGGAAATAAACAAGTACTAGAAAGAAAATAGAAAAAACCCAGAGGGGTGTGTGTATATATATATGCCTGTACGTGTATGTGTAGTGTGACCTAAATAGAAGTAGCAAGATGTACCTAAAATCTTGCATGTTTATGAGACAGAAAAAAAAAGAACACCAGCAATCCACCATGTAAAACAATTACAGGTTTCCATTTTACACTCATTTGGGAGGATGGTAGTACCCTCCTGGGAGGTCGCTGTCTACCAATCTACTACCTAGGATTTATATAATTTACTAACATAAATTGGGGGTTGTTTAGACCAAGTATCTTTATGATGTGATGATCCTGCTAAAGTTTTCCTGAAAGGCTATGCATACTATATACATGTACTTTCAATTTATTGTACCATTCATGTACTAGGAACTGAAATAAACTATTATTGGTTGTAAGGTGCATAAAAAATAATAAAAGGCATATTTTTAGTAATTCAACCATATCTAGTCAAATAGAACAAACTAAGTTTTTAATGTAGTATGCCAAATGAACAATATTTTTAATTTAAAAATATTGTTTGTCAGGCAAATCTCGATAATATGGCCCTATCTGTTCTTTATATAAATATCAGCCCTCTGTCTGCACGTGTATAAAATGGAGTCTAATTGTTTGATCCAAAGTTTATAATTCATCACTGAATATTCAGTTATTTAGGGTGAATTATTATATACTACCATTCACACCAGTTACATTAGTATGTTTTAGGTACCTTAAAAAGGAAAATCTTTCTTATTAATAAAAATTCATTAATCCTTTATAATGCAATGAAAAAATAATTTTCCAAGTTTTTTAAAAATTCAAACATGTCATCATCCCTTCAGTGCTACACTGTATTTATATCAACCTTACTTTATTTTTTATTAATGGGTGGAAAATGTTTTAGCCATGCAATAAGTAATATTTTACGATTTTTATTTCCTCTTATGACAATCTGCAAATGGTGGAATGTCAAGCATTATTATATTCACAGCAGCCAGAATGCCAGGGAAGAAACCTCAATACCAGTCACACACATTTTGAGTCATTCAGTACTACATGGCAGAGATGGTTAAGGAGAGGTGGTGTTGAGGGAGGGGTATCAGCAGAAAGGGGTTTGAGGTGTCTGAAATAAGGTTGGCATCCTTTCTGATGAATAAACAAACTTATCAAGAGACACTGAATGGTCAGTACAAAATGATAAGTCTGCAGAGTAACACTGGGTGCCACATGGAATGTGAAAGATCATTGTACAGTTTCCTTAAGCAATAATAATCTTACTATCTCTGCTACTATCTTCTGTTTTTTAGGTTCTGCTTTCACTTTTTTCTTGTAATTTTTCAAATTTGTTTGTGTTTTCCACATTTAATGTCTCACTGTGATGAAGAAACTAGAATACGTAATTCTTGAGCAAATCATGAAATAATTTTGGAGATTCTTATTTTTTTTAAATTATTATTATTGCTATTGTATTAAGAAATAATTGGATACAGTACGCAAATGAATTCTGCTGAATGTTATTAATTACTTTCAAATCTTATTACCAATATAAATGTGTCAATTACTATACTTGCTGCAAAACACTTAAATTAAAACATAACTTGAACTGCTGAGCTGATTACATATTATTAAATCCCATGTGAGGTGATTATTTCCCCCCTGACAATAACAACAACTGAAGAGCTACTAAAGGTGGTGGCAAGTTATCAGTACACATGGTATTCAAGACCTGTGAGGTTGCTAAACAAAAAAGTAAACAACTATAAAATTAACAGCAGTGCATGAGAGAAAAATGCAAACCTCTGACCTCATTTGTATAACTTGACATACGGCTCAAAGTGCCAGGGTAGCAACTCCCTAGCCCCCAGGTCTGTTTTGTATGGTTTTACTGGTCTGTTGTTATTACTGGGATGGCCTTAACCATGATCAATCATTCTTGGGTATATTTTATTATCTAAGAAATAGGGATTTTTCCGGTGATCATGGATTTAAAAAAGGGCAAGTGTTATAAAGGAGAGTCCTGGGAATGTAATTAATGAACAGAGGAAAGGTTGCTTTACTGGGTGGAGTGTCTACAGTGCTTATCTTGGGCTTTTATAAATTTAAATTTTGTTTAAATTTGGCCACATTACCACCTGTGAACATTATAGGGTAGTTCTGATAGTCGAATGGATGGTTTCTTGTGCTCATTTGACAGAACAGAAGGCATACTAGCAAAACAGATAGAAATTAGGTCAAAATGAGAATTAGAACTGGCTTAAAATTGGACTCAAGTGGATGAAATTGCTGACGTGTAAACTGTGCCTAGACTACCAACTTTGCATCTGTGTAATCCTGTAAGTTTTCCATCAAATTTCACATTTTTGTATCATTATCTTAAGAAATGGTATTGAATCTTTTTCTGAAGATAAAATTATTATGCTGTCAACGGTTGTCATTTATCAAGTATTACACGTGTAGGACATTTTGCTCATTACCAGTCAAAAAGCTTGTGTGTGAACTGTTTCTCTTTACAATATTATGCTGTGGTTCCATTTAGGTGCTGAAGATGTATAGAATAATCATTATTCTATACATCATTATTCTTGTACTGGTAGTTATAAAAATATATTTTGTAAGTACAGGTGCCCTTAGCTTTATGCAGTGGCTGCATTCCAATCCCATGATAGCTCTACCAAGCTCAATCAGATAATAGGAATTTTCAATATATTTTGCAAACCACAATGATTGCATGTGGAAGGTATACTAATATAATAGTAAATTTGCATAAAGTGAGAGGGGGGGGGGGGGGGTAAGGAACCTGTACCTGATTATTTAGATATACAGTATTTAAAACATGAGGTAGTTGACCAAATCAGAAGTGAGTGCTTTTGCTAATTAGTGATTGTTTTGATGGTTACAATTGATATGTGACAATGATTTATGATAAAAAAAAAAAAAACTCCAGCCTCATATAAGACATTTAATGAATCATTCTGCTTTTCTGACTCTTCATTTAAGATACTGTACTTATGCTCTTCTGTTTTTTTTATTCTTTCATTCTTTCTCTTGTCTCATTTGTATATGCTTACTCCTGTTTCTTGGTGTTACCAACTGCAATGCCTTTTGTTATGCTGTATCAGAACCAGCATTCAGAAATACTGTATTCAGCAAATGATACAGGGATTTCATCAACCATCTTTAGCATCTAAATGTCATAAACCATTGAGAAAGAATCTATACAAGCCATCTCTCCAGGAAAGCTGAAGTGCAAAGGAGAACTAGTATTGTAATTTTGTTTTTCAATAATCCAGCCATATCCCACAAAGGCAAGGTGACCTGAGGAAAGTTTTTCTTTTTAAATTTAGTAATATATACAAGGGTTACTAGCCTCTTGTTCCTGGCATTTTAGTTTCCTCTTACAACATGCACAGTTTACAGAGGAAGAATTGGTTTCCACTTCCCCATGGAGATAAGAAGAAATAAAGAAGAACAAGACCTACTAAGAAAATAGAAAACCTAGATGGGTGTCTAAATATAGATGTGTGTACATACATGCATGTGTAGTGTAACCTAAGTGCAAAGTAAAAGCAGCAAGATAAACCTGTTACACCGCGTGTTATTATAATTATATTTAGAATACATACATTTCTGATATAATAAAGTTTGTAAACTTGTGCCATATTTTAATAATTTCTTTTACCTACCACAAAGTAGAAACTAAGTAGGTGGCTATGTTACATTTACTCTTTAAATAGAGTACACAAAACAATTTTCTTTTGCAAATGACCCAACCCATGCAAACCCCATGAACAACTGTAAATATAGTAGTTAGTTTGCTTGAAGACATGGATTAAATACTAAACTTCACTTGCCTATCTAATATTGAGCAGACAAGCATTCATTTATTGCTTGGGAATTTTATGAAATTTCAGATTTCCATGAAATATATGGAGTATTAGTGCATGACAAAACAGTGACAAGCACTAGTGTAGTTTTGCTAATTTGTCAAGAGGCATTTTAAGATTTTTCTACTGCCACACTGGTCATTTCTCACCAAAATCTAACTGAGTCTGGGGCCATCACCCTCACCACTTAGTATAATGACCCAAGAAATAAACAAGTTCACCACAGCTTGCACAACTGTTGCCTTACTAAAGAGCATGAACATCGTATCCCCCAAATTACTTTCCAAAGATCAACATCTGCACCTATCCTTTAGAGTACAGGCACTGCACACTTCTCACTTTAATAATATTTGCAATAGAGCATTTCTAATCATCAGGGAATTTCTTGGAAAGATAATTGTGGACATTTTCATATACAATCATCATGATTCCAGCACCAGGTCCTAACCTCAACACCTTGGGCACCATACCTTTGTATAAAGCACAAAATCTGCAATATAAAAAACAGAATTAGTGTAATTAATTTAAAATAATATTTTTTACAAAGAACTTAGACCTACCATACTTTTCGAAATTAAGTAAAATTTTTTACTTAGCCACATGTTGTCACTAACATTATGGAGTAGGAAATCATGCACTGCCTGACCCTAAACATTTTCTTAAATCTTTTATGAATTGGATGAAAAAGTCAGTTATTTTCTCTTCACGTAAACCACTGGTTATCATAATTAACCTCTGTTTATAAATCTGGTAAAATAATACAGTAGCCTCTTACGAATGGTAATTATCCTTTTTTAAATTACTGACTTGGATGCTTAAAATACTGTACAGTACATACCTATACATACTTTGTACGTATATCCAATTTTTTAAGCCTCTTGGTAGACCTCTAATGCACCTGTACACTTAGTTGCACTGGAGAATGTACTATATTTAGGAAGTCAGATGAATTTGTTGGGAAGCAAGGACATAAAAATTTAGTTGATTTTTTATACTCAGGCTGCTACCTGACACTGGAAATATCTATAGTACAGTACATTGTACAAATTGTGTTTAATATGTAAATTACAGGGATTATGAAGATTTTCAATTTAGAAAAATACATTATGAAAATAAAACGAAAAATGTATGAAACTCAAAACAATCAATTAGATGGAATAAAATTTTATATTCAGGGTTATATTCAAGGTATAAAACTGTCAGGAAAATCTTTCTATAAACAGGTTAAAATGCATAATAATGGTATCTTTGGGAACTGTATCTCATAACATTATGATGGTGTGTGAGGAGACAGGATAAAGAAATACAGTGGACCCCCGCTTAACGATCACCTCCCAATGCGACCAATTATGTAAGTGTATTTATGTAAGTGCGTTTGTACGTGTATGTTTGGAGGTCTGAAATGGACTAATCTACTTCACAATATTCCTTATGGGAACAAATTCGGTCAGTACTGGCACCTGAACATACTTCTGGAATGAAAAAATATCGTTAACCGGGGGTCCACTGTATCTTGGATAAAAGATATGGGAGCAAGTTATGACTTGTGAAATCATAATGGCAAGACTGTAAACAACAGTGAGCTTTTAATGAATGTTACAAAGTACACAGAAATATGAGACAAAAGAAGCAACACAATAGACTAAAAACCAATAACTATGCTGCATATGAGGTACAACAGATTAATATGACTGAGGCCAATGATCAGCATTTATTATAGAAATATTCATAAATATTATAACAAACAACTGGTAACAGAGTTGGTAACAAAGCTGAGTTTAAAAGTCAACAGCAACAATACACAGCAAAGCAATAAAACGAACAAATTGGAAACATGACATGCCAGCATTAATTGGCATTCTCAAAATAAAGATAGTGAGACACCAATCTTAAAATCTAACCCTGCCTAGTTTCTTAACTCATTCTTCTTTCAGATAGTGTAATACTTGTAGTCTAATACTGTCCAGTTCGATAATCACTTACCCTTCTTCTCTGTAAACAAGTAAAATGGAGCCAAATGTAGTCTTGTACTTGATCTCTCCAGGAACTGGTTGTGGCCCTTGAATGCGACTTTTGGCCACGTCAAAAGGAATATTGATGAAACATCCAAGCACACCAGCCACTAAGCCAATGAAGAATTTCTGAAGATTTTGTTGCCATTTCTCCTGCAAATAAATCCTTTAATTAACTCAAATTCCAAGGAAAGTTCTTAATTCCTACCAGGGTTTCTAATACACCATCCATATTCCATTTTTTTCATATTCAAAAGTAGAAATTAAGACATAGCATTACAATGTAAGAAAATATATAATAAAATTTCTCTATGGTCCAAGTTTACCTTCACCACAAGATCATCTTAGATTTTACATATTAATACAGAAGTAATGTTTTACAATAATCTCAATTAGTTTATCTTTTGATTTTAGCATGCCCTGAAATGTTAAACTGCATATGACTTTAATTAACAGTAACTATATTACCTACCTTAGGCTGAGTTATTCTAGAGTTCACTGTATGAAATACACCAAAATACATCATATTGAAGAGGCCATTTCTACCAATGGTTGCAGTAACTCCTTTATTAAGGCCTTTAAATCCTAATCCTTGAGTCTTGACAATCTCTCGTGCTACTGCCCAAGTGCTGGGTGAAACTTTGTGCTGTGCCCTATGACAAGACCATTTAGAAGACAGTATTAATCACCTATTTTATTATTCAAATAATAATTAGACACAAAAAAACTTTCTAAACAATGCTGTACACACAAAGAATTTTTACCATAGCATTAAGTTGTGTGCAAAATGTAGGAATGCTACACTATGGTACATGACTCCTTCCCTTCCAATGACAACCTTCACAGTCTATTGCTGCATTCTGGAAGCGTCTTGTGTTTCACTCACTCTGCATTCATCAACCTATTTCAGATACTTTTATCACTATCTGCTGTCTGGATATTAACCCTTTCAGGGTCCAAGGCCCAAATCTGGAGTCACGCACCAGTGTCCAAGAATTTTCAAAAAAAAAAATTGTTATTTTTTCTTATGAAATCGTAGAGAATCTTTTTGTGAAGGTAATAAAACAAAAAGTACGAAATTTGGTGGAAAATTGACGAAATTATGCTCTCGCGAATTTTGATGTGTCAGCGATATTTACGAATCGGCGATTTTGCCGACTTTGACTCCCATTTTAGGCCAATTACATTATTCCAGTCAACCAAATTCTTAGCTATTTCACTAGTATTACTTCTATTCTATCGATTGAGCACAAGAAATCACCAAGTCAACTGTTTCAACTACAAAATAAAGTGATCGGAAATTGTTAATTTGGCCAATTTAACACAAAGTTCAAAATATTCCAATTTCAAAATAGGGTCCAGAATGAGCAATGTAAGCATTCCTGGCACTAAACTAACATTTCCTCTGTTCATTAGTTATGTTTTGAGGCTTTACAAATAAATTCCATTTTGATTTTTTATTCACATAATGAATTTTTATTCACACCAAAAAATAGAAGATTTACTGTTATGCAATACTGTAATAATTGTATAAATATCATCACCATATTTGTGAATGTATATTAGACCCACCAGCTGATGTGTATTAGACGTGTGAGGTCGTTTGTTTACTCTTGAATATCGGCAAAAATTTAACATTTCTGCTACTTTGAGCTCAGTTTCAAGCCATTTCCAGTGCTAAAACCAATCAAAATCATCTCTATTTCTGTAATATGTCTTCCATTCTATCAAATGAGACCAAGAAATCGGAAATACAACTATAAAAAACATACGAAAAAACACTGCAAAGTTGCTGTTTTAATAAAAAAATCATGATTTCATTTTTTTTCTCTCATTATACACAGTGTGCTGCAGGATCTGTTTTATGTGGTGCACACATACCACATAGATGTATTCTCTCATATTTAGGCCCAAATGTACCACTCACAGTTTATCAGAGTGAGCTGAGTTCATGGCGTAGATCTACGGTTTGGACCCTGAACATAAAGCCGTAGATCTACGGGACGGACCCTGAAAGGGTTAACCATGGCACTCAAGAGGAATACTGGTGATGTTGGAGGTGTTAAGAAAAAGACTAAGTGTGAATCTATAACCTTAATGCAGAAAATAAAGGTGTCGGATATGTTAAGAGGCAGTGCACATGTGATGGAAACTACCCAGGTTCATGTGAATGAATCATCCATTCATACAATTAGAAATAATGATAAAAATGAGAGCTTGTGCATTTAGTAGTACAGAGTGTAACCTACTCAAGAGAATGTCAAAGAGGTCGCTACATCTAAATTGGACGGAAAAGTTACTCAATGTGTTGACTCAGGAAAAAACAAAAAAAGAGCCCCTACTTAGTGCTAATAAAGCACAAACCCCTATCATACAGCAAAACTGTGTGGGTTGGAGGGAGGTAAGCCTTCATAACAGTGTGTGTTTAGTGCTGGATGCTTTAAAAGTTTTAAAAGGCAAAATATTTTTTTATGATAAAGCTTACTGGTCAGCTCTAAAGTACTGCAGAGAAAACATACAAGAGATGTATTACAATATACTTGAACACTCCACTACAACCATCAACTACTGACAACTCTTCATCCACATCAACACCAAAATCACAGCTTCTACCTCAGCCTAGTATATAAACTGAACAAATTACACACACAGTACATTATGCAGAGTCAGTAAAGTTTATCTGAGTCCAGTTGAAAAGTACATTATCAACTGCAGAATCAATATGAAGATTAAATACATTATAATGAATTGATTACAAAATAAAGATACGTATATGAAAATGGAGACAAATTCTTAATTGTGGCTTATGAAAATAAACATCCAATACGAGATAAATAAGTCATAATAAACTGATTTCTGTAACACATTAATTGTCCCTATTGAAGCACAAAAAATAGTACTGCAGAACATGCAAGAAATTCATCCTGTCTTTACAGGACAGGATGAATTTCTGTTCTTACAGGACAGGGTGACCTGAGCATAGTCACAATTACTAAAGACAGGATGGCCTGAGCATGGTCACGATCACTAATCCTCTGTCATTTTTATTACATAATAATCTTCTCGGCCTTTATTTCCTTAACAAAAATCCATGTCTTGTAAATATGTGAAGAGGCATAGCATACCTATTTGCTTGTTGTGCTACTTTAACAACTTCAAAAGGATTGACAAGAATTGCTTCAGTTGTTCCTGATCCCAATCCAGCTAAAAAAAATGTCTGGAAGAAAAAAAGGAAAAAATAAAGAAATACAAACTGCATCATTTGACTCAAAAATACTTGTCTGAAATTGAACTTTATTCCACTTCCATTTGTATCTGGATAGATGGGTACACTATGGTTCATTAAAAGAAAATATTTAAGCCAATAATAAACAATATAAATACCATTTAAAAGCCTGTACACTTGTAATATGACAGTGGGAGCCATCACTACTATGGTAAGAATGATTCTTAACCCTTATATAAAGATAAATTTTATTTCCAAAAATACAAGGTGTTGTTACAGGATGTGTAGCATGGGTTGTAGATATTGCAGCAAGGAGGAGTCTGGAAGTAGCAGATATGTTGTGTCTGAGGACAATGCATGGTGTGATTATGCAGAGAATTTGTAGCTTGGATATTAGGAGGTGCAGAGTTACTAAAACTATTATCCAGAGGGCTGAAGAAGGGCTGTTGAAGTGGTTTGGACATTTAGAAAGGATATAGCAGGATATAGAGGAAGAGCATAGAGGACGTTTTGTGTGCAAGGGGCTAGGACATCCAATAGGTGTGAATGAGCATGTTAGGTAGGAGTGGAGGCAAATGATTTTTGGGACTTGATGAGTTGTTGGAGTGGGAGCAATGTAACATTCTGTGAAGGGATTCAGGAGAACCAGTTAGCCAAACTTTAATCCTGGAGGTGGGAAGGTACAGTGCCTGCACTCTGAAGGAGGGGTGGGGATATTTGCAGTTTGATATGCAATCTGAACTGCAGTATTGGTGTTTCTCTGGTAAAACAGTGATGGAGTGAATGCTGGTGAAAATATTTCTTTTTTTGGGTCACATTACCATACAGCAGTTATGATAAAGTGGTGAGGAAGCAATTTCTGAGACAGTGAAAGATTTATTAGATAAAAGAACTTACTATATTTAACTTTATAAAAAAGAAATTTAAATGCTCTTTTTATCTAGTACTGTACTATACCAGAATATGGGTTCAAAGAGAAAGCTCCTGGCCTCAGTGCATCTAGAACAACAGTATTTGACAGCAGTCTGCATAATGGAATCATGTATATATAGTACTGGTATTGTCAATTTTCCTTCCCTTTTCTTTCTTCAGTGATTTGATTACATTCCCATCCAGTGACTTAAATTTTATAACCTCTCTTTTTTTTTATTTACCCTACAATATTTGTTAGAATTTTGTACAAAGTCTCAGGAAAAAAAAAAAAGAGACCTACAGCATAATTATAGTATTTCTGCTCTTACAGGACAGGGTGACCTGAGCATAGTCACAATTACTAAAGACAGGATGGCCTGAGCATGGTCACGATCACTAATCCTCCGTCATTTTTATTACATAATCTTCTCGGCCTTTATTTCCTTAACAAAAATCCATGTCTTGTAAATATGTGAAGAGGCATAGCATACCTATTTGCTTGTTGTGCTACTTTAACAACTTCAAAAGGATTGACAAGAATTGCTTCAGTTGTTCCTGATCCCAATCCAGCTAAAAAAAATGTCTGGAAGAAAAAAAGGAAAAAATAAAGAAATACAAACTGCATCATTTGACTCAAAAATACTTGTCTGAAATTGAACTTTATTCCACTTCCATTTGTATCTGGATAGATGGGTACACTATGGTTCATTAAAAGAAAATATTTAAGCCAATAATAAACAATATAAATACCATTTAAAAGCCTGTACACTTGTAATATGACAGTGGGAGCCATCACTACTATGGTAAGAATGATTCTTAACCCTTATATAAAGATAAATTTTATTTCCAAAAATATAAGGTGTTGTTACAGGATGTGTAGCATGGGTTGTAGATATTGCAGCAAGGAGGAGTCTGGAAGTAGCAGATATGTTGTGTCTGAGGACAATGCATGGTGTGATTATGCAGAGAATTTGTAGCTTGGATATTAGGAGGTGCAGAGTTACTAAAACTATTATCCAGAGGGCTGAAGAAGGGCTGTTGAAGTGGTTTGGACATTTAGAAAGGATATAGCAGGATATAGAGGAAGAGCATAGAGGACGTTTTGTGTGCAAGGGGCTAGGACATCCAATAGGTGTGTGTGAGCATGTTAGGTAGGAGTGGAGGCAAATGATTTTTGGGACTTGATGAGCTGTTGGAGTGGGAGCAATGTAACATTCTGTGAAGGGATTCAGGAGAACCAGTTAGCCAAACTTTAATCCTGGAGGTGGGAAGGTACAGTGCCTGCACTCTGAAGGAGGGGTGGGGATATTTGCAGTTTGATATGCAATCTGAACTGCAGTATTGGTGTTTCTCTGGTAAAACAGTGATGGAGTGAATGCTGGTGAAAATATTTCTTTTTTTGGGTCACATTACCATACAGCAGTTATGATAAAGTGGTGAGGAAGCAATTTCTGAGACAGTGAAAGATTTATTAGATAAAAGAACTTACTATATTTAACTTTATAAAAAAGAAATTTAAATGCTCTTTTTATCTAGTACTGTACTATACCAGAATATGGGTTCAAAGAGAAAGCTCCTGGCCTCAGTGCATCTAGAACAACAGTATTTGACAGCAGTCTGCATAATGGAATCATGTATATATAGTACTGGTATTGTCAATTTTCCTTCCCTTTTCTTTCTTCAGTGATTTGATTACATTCCCATCCAGTGACTTAAATTTTATAACCTCTCTTTTTTTTATTTACCCTACAATATTTGTTAGAATTTTGTACAAAGTCTCAGGAAAAAAAAAAAAAGAGACCTACAGCATAATTATAGTATTTCTGCTCGCATTAAAAACATTATGGAGACAACTTTGAACATAAACAATTTAAATATCTTCATAATAAGGTATCAAACACAAAACCTGAGTTACCTGAGGATCAGCCCCAAAATGAAAATGGTAGAAAATACTCAACTCAAATTTTGATGTGCCAATTTTGCATTTTGGTACCAAAATTAATATAGCAACCTTACCTACTCTTGCTAAAATTTACATATATGGTGTGAATATTATGCAAAGAATTTGAAGTGAAGACAACAGAAGAAAGTGTGGTTATAAATTGTATGACTACATATAGTATATTGATCATTTTGTTATATTATACATTGTAATGCTACAAATTTGTACAACTATAATGCTTCATAATTGAAATGTTCAAATTTCATTATTTAAAATACTCATTTGTACTTCATATTGTAAATTGTTTACTGTAATTTTTACCACTGAATCTATCATTGCACAGTTAATCTTAAGTTAATTTTAAGCCTGCCCATAATGCTCTGCATACAAGGGGCTTTTGGCATGTACACCCAACTACCATAATTCCTTGTACAACTATATATCATGTCCAAATAAAAATTTTCATTATTATTAAAATGCACAATTCAGAAGGCAGAAGAGAGGCTGTTAAATGGTTAGAGAAGATGTACCAGATAAGGATGACCAATATGGTAAACAAATTTGGGGTGGCTGGGGGTAGTAAGGGTCATTCTGGCATGAACCGATGAAGACTGAGAAGTTGGTTTTAAGTTGTAGTGGCCTGAGCATTCAGTAGGCATGTTTGAGTGTTAGAGCAGAGCAAATAGGCATGTGGTTTTAAAGATTTGACATGCTGTTAGAGCATGTGTAAAATTGGAGCATGTGGTAAAATTTATGAAGGGATTCAGGAAAAACTGGTTAGCCGGACTTGAGTTTTGAAGGTGGAAAGTACTGTGCCTGCACTCTGAGTAGTTGGGGATGTTACAGTTCAGAGGGTCATTTGAACCGTGATGTCTGCATACTTCTGGCAAAATATTTATCTAAGAATCTGCATTACTATATTTCTCTGTTTTCATTGAGGGAGGGAGAGAATAAATCTTCAGGTGATATTAAAATCTGTAAGAACTATATCATCCAAACATTAGTATTATTGGAGAGTGTAAGTCACAATACCATATCTGGAATAATTCACAAGTAACCTGCATTTTGGAGAATCAACAGTAGATCATGATTCGAACCATCCTGTGGCTTTTATCAAATTTTAAGTTGACACTGGACTAGCTCAGGCTGAAACACAGTCTATAATTTCCTCCAAATTGTGCATTAGCTGTAAATCACTGTTATGATTATGCACAAGCAACTTTTATGCAATTTTGCACAAAACATATCTTTACTATAGATTGTACTGAATAATAAAGCTGCTTCAGTTATTAGAATTGTCAAGCCTACTTAAGTGAGTTTTTCATAAGCAGAACTACTAACTAACCTTAGCATTTATTCCACAGATGACCATGTAGTATGCTGAATTCTTCAAGCTGGGTGTAGCTGTTTAGTATTCAAGAAATAGCTTCCTCAGCATATATAAATTCAGTAATATTTTAAATTTTAACTCAAATTACTCAAACTAGACATGTATCCAGGACTGATAAATATTTCACTTTGAAAACACAGTATTTAACTGCAAGATATTTTGTTGATTGATAATACTAGCTTAAATTTAATTACTATTATCATCATAATATTCACTGGAAAGTGTTAAAGCTCTAGTGGTCTTACAGCACCTGGAGAATAAGAAAAACTGTATATACTCATTATAACACAACAGTGGGTACAGATCAACCCTTGACTTCTGTTAAAATTCCTTTAATTTTTGTTATATGTACTTAAATATCAAGTATAAGTCTGGCCTAGTTTTGGGAGGACTTTAAAAAGGAGTCAAATAGTTCCAATGCAAAAGATATTCTAACCAAAACTCTGTAGATTTATTATTTGCTATGTTTTTTAGCACAGCTACCCATGTCTAGTATATGCTAATAGTGGGTGAATGGGGAAAGATAGATGATATGTTTAACTTATTATTATTACTATATTTAAGGGGAAGCACTAAACCCATAAGGGTCATAAACTGCCTAGGAATATGGAATGCAAACATATTCAATCCAAGAAAAGGAAGGAAAAGTCTAATTTCTTAGATGAAGAGCCCCTCACCAGCATTAAGGAACCTCTGAGAGATCACAGTTCATATTAATAAACTGTTGGAAAGGGGAAAGTCTTGAGTCTGGACTGACCAGATAGAAGTACTGAATACGTATTTTCAAATTTATTTGCATACTGAATGTAGAATATGGTTTCCAAATGTGGTTTTGCTGTTGCACCTAGGAAGTAGAAATCTAGTGTGCAGAGACCTTCAACTGTTGTATTCTGAGCACCTCTGCAAAAACAGTGATTATGTGTGAGGTGAAAGTGTTGAATGATGATGAAAGTATTTTCCTTTTGCCTCAGTGGGAGATGGTCGACTTGCTAAAAAAAAAAAAAAAAAAAAAAAAAAAAAAAAAAAAAAAAAAAAAAAAAAAAAAAAAAAAAATTACACTTAGGTCACATTACACATGCATTTTTTTTAGTGCATTTTCTTAAGCACAAAAATATTTCAAATGGTGTTTTTTTTTTTGGAAAGTTTATTTATTTTTCTATTTTAGGTTTTTATTTTAGTCATTTCTTGTAATTATTGGTCACTTTTCATTATTTTTGATAATTTTCAGTATTTTTCAAATTTTTAGGTATTTTTTCATGATTTTTAGATTTTTTCCAAATAAAATAGTCTTAATGAAAATACTAGTTTCTCCATTATACCTAAAATTTAAAGGGCCTCGTATATGTAAAAATTTTCTCATTTTACATTTTTTAAATGCATATCTGAATCAGCAAGAAAAAGTACCCCGGTGTATTTAATGAATTCTGAAAATCCCGGGAGAAAAAGTAAAAATGGGGGAAATTTTTTTTTCTCCAAATGAAAAAGGGCTTTTACACTGCTGCGGGTCAATTTCTCCCCCAAAACATGAAAAAATCCTGTAATTTTCACTTTCATATTGTTATTAGTTTTATAAGATAAATTCTGTAAAAGGCAAACCCCAACAGGGGAAAAAACAACGTGAAAAACACCCTTTTATCTTTTAAAAATGTTTTTTTTTATTTTTTCATGCATATTCTTTAAATAACATAAAAATAGTTCAAATGGGGTATTTTTTTGGGTAAAAGTTTATTTTTTCATAATTTAGGTTATTTTTCCAAATTCTTTGTTATTTCTTATAATTTTTAGTCTTTTCTCATTATTTTTGATAACTTTCAGTTATTTTTCATATTTTTTGGCATTATTCTTGATTTTTAGCTATTTTCTATAATGAACAGTCTCAATGAAAATATTAGCTTTCTCTACTATTCATTACCGGGAAATTAGTGCCTCATCTGATGCTAAAACAATCTGATTTTACATTTTTAAGTGTACATTCTTAATCAGCATAAAAAATAGTACCACTGGTATGATTTTAAGGAATTTTGAAAATCTGGCCAAAAATGGATTTTTGGGGGTGAAAAACTTTTTCTCTCAAAATAGAAAATGGTCATGATGACACCATTTGTTGGATCACTTTCTTTCCACAAACATGAAAAAATCCAGTATATACAGTTTTCATAGAAGGTTATGAGAATTTTTGTAAGTTTAATGTGCCGTAAAAGGCACCTCGGACAGGTAAGACACAGACGAGAGAAAACAGCCTTGTATCTTG